CCTGCTGTGCCATGACCATCTGTGCTCAGAGCTCTTTCTAAAATAATTTTATAGCTTATGAAAACTAAAGGCTTTGACATTTAAAGACAAGCTAAGGGGAATTCTTTATTGACTATGCTATCCATGCATGCTGTAGGATGGCTAAGCTAACAATAGATGGAGTACCAAATACATCATTCTGCTGTAAAAAAAAAAATCTCCTATTCTAGACTATTATCTTTTGCCTGGAATTTCAGAGTCTATTTCTTACAGTGTTGCTAATTTAACCTTTCTCATCCTCATGAAGTCCTTAATACACTGCATTCTATTATTTAATTATCCAAGGCTAATTTGAGTAGCACTGCTGTCAGTGTCACTTTACTTGCTAGCTGTAGGAGCATGGCAGCAGCCAAGTTTTGCATTTTTCTCCCCTCTGCCCATATTCTTTCCAATTGTTAACTATCCATGTCTCTCTATCTAGCCTGGTGACAAATGGACATTACCGGACCAGTGCCACACTGTGACATGCTTTCCAGGAGATTACACAGTTCTAGAGAGTCACCAAATTAACTGTGAGAGGATGCCAAAACCAGTGTGTCACAGCAATCTTCCTGCTGTTAAGATTGAAGAAACTTGTGGCTGCCGATGGATGTGTCCATGTGAGTATCTATCTTTGCATGTATGCCTCTCCCTCCCCATCACTTGAAATGTTAATCAGAAATGTAATGCTGAATGGAGCTACTCGGTCGTTGTACACATCAAAGATGACTGAAGTGGGAGGAATTAACGCTCTACACCAGTTAAACAAACAGCTAGGAGTGTAAGAGTCTCACTGATGCCTGGAATGTGTGATGCTATTTGCAAGTTCAGGGCCAATGTGAGCTTATTTTTTACATTAGCATAGCTACAGTGTTAGAGAATTTCACACTCGATTTCCAAAGCTGTGTGAACTGGGAAGGAGAATATATGGAAGAAAACAGAAATTTATATTGGCAGGCTGTAAGCAAGTCATGTATATTCTTGGTCCACCTCTAGGCTTGAGGGTGTGTGTGGCCTGACCTCAATTAAGTGCATGTATTAAAGAAACAACAACAACAAAATGCCTCCTGCCTCCATAAAACCTCACACTGAGTATTTGAGCAGAAACGGTGAACACTGTGTGATTAGTGCCTTGGCTGAGATGATAGGAACAGAAATTAAGTGCACCCACTTGCATGTACAGGGTGGAGGGGTTCAGCCCTGAGGCTGGTGATCCACTCATTAAAAAGAGAGGTTCTTTACGAAAATCCCACGTATGTGAAGGGAAGACTTGAGGGAGGAAGTTAAGAAAGGAATGATGATTTCAAGTGAAAAAATGAACTGGAGCCTCCGGATTGCCTCAGTGCTTGGACAGATGTTCTGACACCAGTGAAACAGTGGCAGTCCAGGATAAAGGAGGCAGGGATGCCTGGCTGCATGCAGTGTGGTACAGAGCATCACTCCACATCCATTACAGGGAAGAGCACTTCATGGTGGAACGAGGGGTAGGCTCAGCTGCTGGGTCTTTTGGTACACCTCTGCCTGGGTTTGGGGACTGAGCATCACCTTTTCTCCTTGCCAAACGCACTGTAGTCATATGTTTGATTTCCATAAAAATTAGTCAAGATGTTTGTTTTGAATTAGATGTTCAAAAGATAGCTCAAATAACTCTTAAAGGCTGTATTTATACAAAAGAATGCATTTCTACAGCCCAATCATGCATGCTATTACAGCTAAAATTTGCAGAAATCTCAAAACCAGGAACCTGTAGGTGGTATTTTCAACAGTGTTTAGATCCTGTTCAGAGCTTGAAAATCTCTGGCCTGATGAATCTCTTCAGCTTTGGTGAAGGTTAGAGGGCTGTACTCCACAACATAATTCTGAAAATTGGGCTTATATCTAAAGTCATACAATTACTTTTTAAAGTAAATCAGAACCCTGTATATGCCTTCTCTTTATAATGTATGATCTCAGTTTAAAATGTCCTCTGCAGAACTGGCTATTTTAAGAACAATTTCTTCAAGGCACTGCTTGAAATATCTAAGCTGGGTAGCTAGATTTTGATCCCTGAATTGCTAGACATCCAAAATTTTAACACCCCAACTTTTAGCATTTTCTAAAAGCACAATCGATTATCCAAACACTTTAAAGATAACATTTCTGTTTTGATATAAATATTTCATAAAGGTAGAAAGATTTTAATTGAATCATCATAAATATTTTATAAAGTTTAAAAGATACTATTAAAAGACACTGTTGGTGATATCTACCCATAAAAAGTGCATCTGTAATAATTTTCTCGATCCTAAATACACTGATAGCAACATGAAGGCGTAACTTTTGGCATATATTTTGGCATACCTTTGGCAAAACATGTCTGCATAAAGATTTTCTGAACAGATGAAATGAAAATTACCATTCATACCATTAATTGGTTGTCATGAAAAGACTTATAGTTGACTTGAGATTGCTGCTGTTTAATATGAGATAACATTTGTTTAGCTCTTTATGAATTTAGTGAGCCATGATATGCAATATTTAACTTTTCTTCCCCCAAAGTGATACAGCTGGTGATGAAAAGTGCTGAGTTTTCATATGTTATAAGAGGAGGAAAAAAAACCCCAACCCCACATGTTGATCAAAACCCCATGGGTAAAGTACCCTTTACTTAGCAAAACCTGGGTGATGCTGTGTCAACTAAAGAAACATCCGTAGCAGGCAGGAAGGCTGATTCTGATGCCGTATGTGCTGAAGTCAGAGCCGAAACACAGCAATCAGTGAACTTTAGTGATGGGCATAGCAAAGTAGGTGCCGAGTAGGAGGTCAGTGTGCTTCCGCATCTCTGTTGTTACGAATGGAGGCAATCTGTGCTGCAGGAGGATGGCAGTGCACACTTCATTTACTTGTGATTCAGCAAAGTAGTGTTCAGTTATTTAGAGAACTAGAGCCCTTTCAGATGATTGCTTGATGGTGTGGATGTTTTGACAAATGCTTTTGCAAAGGCGAAGTACTTGAAAAAGTGTTGTTCTTATGTCATATAACTAAGTTCATAGAATAGATCAGGAGTTACACCATGAAGATGTTTGCTTGCTGAACTAGTTATAAATTTTATAGCAATATGATTTGCAATGTGTGATTCATGGCTCTTGGGTGTTTGTGGACTATTAAATGGATTTAAATGGATTGCATTAACACATTTTGTGCTACAGAATACCTATGAGAAATATAAAAGGATTCCCATTATCCTTACAATTTTTTTAGATGTCCATGAATAAAAAAAGGTTGAGAAACATTATTTGATTGCTAACTTGTTTCATTGTTGCTTATACATGAACTTTATAAGAAGGTAAAGTAGAATATCTGAAGATGCTCCACTGTTCCAAAGGGATGTACCTCTTGACAATTCAGTGCCTGACAGTACACAAGATAGGGTTTTTAACGGGAAACAGTTTATTCTCAAAGCTCAATTAGAAGCCAAGTAGCTGAATTATTAACAATGAGAATTTTCTTCCTAGAAGTTCAGCTGACATAGCTTTTATTGTCCTTATTATCTTTAAGCAAAAGATTTGAAAATGCATGAGTCAGAAGCATCCTTTTGCTCAGGTTTTGTTTTGGTACTTGTGAGATTATAATCCTCCTTGTTTTCCAGTTTGTGAAGACAAGGAAGTGTTTATAACCGAATGACCAGGACACTGAGCTGTCAGTTGACCATTGGTTTATCCTGTGCATATTATTTTTCTGCCCTTTTCCTGTTTCCCATCTAAAAAAAAAAAAAATTGTCCCCTCATATTGACTTGCGGCATGCATTTGATAAGAATTAAATAGTGTTACTTTGTTTCAAATGTAATACCGTACAGAATAAAATGCAATGCCACAACAAAAGTGCAATACAAAAGTTAAAAAAAAAGTATGTTACAGCCTTTCTACAAATAGAGAAGGGATAAATTTTCCCTGCTTTTATTTTTCATATAAGATCTATTACAAATCACATTCAATGTGAGTAAACTTCATGCTAAGGGATTTTCTATGAGTTTATCCAAATCTTTTGTAATACTAATTGCTCCAGACAAAGATACTTAAAAAAAAAAAATACGTGATGAAGTATTTACTAAAGTTTCTTGTCAATGCTTTGCTACAAGCATTTGCAATTCATTACCTTTCTAGCTTTCTCAATTAATTGATTCCACATGCTTATAACAATTGTGAAGAAATAGTCTAATTTGAACAAAAGCAAATGCCTACATGGCTTTTTTTTTCCCATTGATTTGCAGGTGTCTGTATAGGAAGTTCATCTCGACATATTATCACTTTTGATGGGCTAAATTTTAAGCTGACTGGCAATTGCTCCTACACCTTGTTTCGAGATATGCAACATGGTGTTGAAGTTCTCCTCCATGAAGGGCCATGCAGAGCAACACCAAAGATGAACTGTATGGACTCCATTGAAGTGAAACATCGTGGTGTATCTGTTCAGCTCTTCAGTGACATGGCAGTAAGCTAAACATAATGAAATGACCGTGCATTGTCTGCTCATGCTATAGAATTTCAGGTTATGGGACAAATTTCTTCCCTTTATCCAGTTTCTGTTCTCCTTTGCAGCCCATTCTTAGGCTTCTGAGCAAATGTCTCATTTCAATTTCATGATACAATCTACGTTCACATAACAAGCCAGACGTGTTTCTTTTCGTGTTCTCCCTGTTGTGTGGGTGTGACAGTGTCAAGAACATGGGATTTGGCAGTGTTTCCCTGACACTTCTGCCAGAAAGGCAGGGATTATAGACAGGACATACTGCACTCTGATTCTCCTCTGTCAGCAGAGGTCCTTTACACAATGTTATCATTTGGTGCATGGGAGAGCAGTCTGTTCTTCACAAACCTATGCATGACTGACTAGTTGAAGAGCTAGTGAGTTGGTTCTTACCTTGTGTGCAGATGGGCCTCAGCATTAGAAGAAAGGCCAGCTTAGTATATATTAACATCTATTTGATAGACAGAGAAGTATTCAAATTCAATATGACGCATTTTCAATCTCTGAGTTCCTCAGACATACAGGAGTTGGCTAGCTTGCAAAGGTGATCTCTTCTGACTCGTGTAGCAAAATAGGATGCACCCAGTTCTCTATGGTGATGGACAGTTTTGACTTTCACTGAGCTGTATTGATAATCAGGGTCTGTAGGCAGCATTTTAACTTCATGGCATTAGATTGCTAGTCTGTATGTGATGCTGAAGGGATGCACTCATATGGGAAAATGTTGAAATAGTTGTTCATATAATACACAGAATGAAGGTCAATTAGTTCTGTGCATTTTTAGACTCAATAGAAAGTTTCAGCTTGCAAAATTTTTATGTCCAGATTCAGTTGGATCTTCAAGTAGTCAAAATGTGTTTCAACTGTAAGGTTGGGTTGATTTTAACTGCTTGCTACAACTGATGTGATGATCTTGCCTTTTTGAAAACAGGTGGCTGTTAACGGTGAAAGGGTCCATATTCCCTATTCTAGCAGTTTGTTTGAAGTCACTGTCTATGGAGCAATAATGCACGAAATCAAGTTCTCCCATCTTGGACATAATCTCACATTTACTCCAAGAAACAATGAATTTATTCTTAAACTTAATTCAAAGAGCTTTTCTTCAGGAACTCAAGGGCTTTGTGGTAAGTTTGAAAGCTAGTAATTTTAACAGAATCCTACTTGGACTTGAATTGCTATTTATGCTGTTGGGATTTATGTGGTCCTGAACCTGTAAACTCTCTGGCTGAACTGATCCCCTGTTGTTGGCACATTGCTAATTTATGTAGGTTTTTTTACTATGGCCATCAATGTAATGGCTCATCAACTCCCCGTAATACCTTAGAAGAGCAAGGCTAGACATCTCTCATGTTTTACTTATTTCACATTATATCATTATCTTTTCAAGTTTTTTTGGGGTTTTTTTTTTTTTTTGGATGAGCCTTTAACTTTAGGTTCTTACATATACATTTATGTGAGAGATATGTCCTATGCTTGCAGTGAAGTTGAAAGGTTTGTGAGGGGTACTACTACCTGGAAGAATTAATGCTGTGGTATCCTCTATGGTATAATCCATTGTATAGATTATACCTCTGTGGTATAACCTATACCTCCTGTAATAAGGAAATAGGAAACAAGACCCAGGGTTTTTATGCCTCCATTGATAATAGCTATAAGGAATATTGTTCATTCCTCTTCCCCTTGGTGTTCACCAAGTGGCCCCAACCAGCTCTGTCTGTCCTGTGCCTGTATTCTCTAGGTTTATTTCATTGTTGACTCTATTGAGACTCTTTGTTTTCCTTTTACTCACCCTCCTAGGGGTGTGTGACCAGAACCACATCAATGACTTCACATTACATGATGGCTCTGTCACTCCTGACCACAGTGTGTTTATCCAAGACTGGACGGTGGAAGAGCTGGGGAAGATCTGTGAAATCCGGCGAGAAGACCGATGCTCTGACCACGCAACAAGCCACTGCCACCTTCTGCTCTCAGATCGGTTTGCAGAGTGCCACAGGGTAATCCCCCCCAACATGTTCTATGAGGCCTGCGCAGAAAGCAGCTGCTATGAGGATGAAGCCTGCGAGATGATAACTTCCTACGCTCACATCTGCAGGGAAAACGGGGTCTGCGTAGACTGGAGAACACACGAGTTTTGTCGTAAGGGGTTTACAATACATTAAAACGGATATAGAAACTAACTTGGAGATGGTGGTGAAAATGACCATCCTGTCAGTGTAATACTAGTTTTTAAATACTGTGTAATGGGGCAGAAATTCCAAATCAAGTTTCCCATGTAAGTGGTATTGCAGATCTGATAACTGGTTTGTCATCCACTAAGTTGCATAGTATGGAAAATGTGTTTCTTAGTAAACTCCTAACTAGGAAAATGCAAGGTAGTTATCCAAGGCTGGAGGGATAACCTATGAAATAAAAATACTGTAAAAGCTGTGCACAGGCAAACACAGCTATGTGACAGTATCTGACTCTGCAGCCACCAAACCATCGTGGGGCCAGGTTGGGACTGAGAGGCTGCTCTGTTTCTGCCAGGCAGTTTTAGCTGCAGATATCATTGCTTTGGTACAGGCATTGGAGGGTCTGTACAAGGTGGACACGGAAGCTCGTAATTTTGACGAGTGGAACTGCTCCCCAGCCTGTCACTGTCGTAGCTGCGCATAATGGCACAAAATAAGACTTTTCTCTGTAATAGTTTTGCAAATTCCCCACATTCCAACCAAAGCCTAAACCTTTCAGACCATGGTGGAAGAGCCAGTGTGATTTTAAGTTTCTACTGCAGTGAAAAATGGGGAAATGGCCATTCTCTGTGGTGTCTTTTCTTGCCAGCACATGCCAGCTACACTGATCAAACCAGCTGTAATTTGCTTTGCCAATATGGTTCTCCTGGCTGTGTTTTGCTTGTGTTTTGGAGGTGAAGAGTTTGTGCTGTGAGAAAGCAGTATAGCAGGATGTGAGTCTTGCAGATTGCCCCAGAGCCCAATAGAAACAGGACAAGCATGCTAGTGCTAAATTCAGACAGTTGTTGCTTTGTATACCTATTCCTCTAAATTCTTATAGACATAAGAAGCTCTGCCCTATCTTCCTGGAGTTTTTTTCTTTTTTTCTTTTTTTTTTCTTTTTTTTTTTTTCTTTTTTTCTCCTGACAGCCCTATTATGAGGCATACCTAAAGGTCTGCCAAAAATGCAACATATAGTTAAGTACAAATAAGTAACTCTTGAGGTGGCTTATTCTATACCTTCCACTGTTAGTTTGTCTGCCAGTGATGGTTGCAGACATTCAGATACTCACTCACAGTGTTTCTCTTTTAGTCAGGTATCTAGCTGAGATGTGTGTATATATATGTAGGCATTTTCTTTCCCAGCTAGCCCCTCATGTAGTGTCTTGATATCCCAGTTGTTTTTTACATCTCATGCCTCTCCAGTTCAGTCAGTTCTTGTTGCCTTGCTTTCTTTCCTTCTTGCCGCCCAGATACTTTTCATTTCAGAATTGGACAACCAGCATCCTAAAGGCATGGTACAGCAAGAACTCAGTACATGTTTTGGTTTTGTTCATGTTTTAAACTCATACTGAGGGAATGATGGGATAGGAAGTCAAGAATGTGAATTTGAATTTGGCCTGAGCCTCCAGTTAGTGTCTCAACTATCTTTCCAGGATAGGTGATTGAAGAACATGTTGCTGTTGCAGACTGAATCTTTTAAGAAACAAAACAGTCTTTGACATATAGTCCTAGAAAACAGAGGGAGAATACTGCCAGCCGTTTTCCAAATTTAGTGCTTCAGTCAGACTTTGCAAATTGTAATGTCCAAGGCTGAATATCAGTGGAGTACCTTAATAACTCCCTGCAGTTTTTAAATTCCCATCTTGTTACACAGCATGTACAAGGATAGCCAAAGTGTTGCCCATTTTAACACTAGTTGCATAAAACAGTCGTTAGTGTCCTAACAATAGCATCATCTTCTTCCTTCAAGCAGGTGCATGTGTGCAACTGCCAAAAATAAAATTGCCAATTACAGGGACATTATACAGGTTACATTAATGACTAAATAGACAGCACAGCTTAATCCCTCTACCACTACATGTATAATAACAATGGCGTGGTTCTGGAGTACCTTGCTTCCCTCCCCCTGTTCCAGTGAATCCCTGTCATTTTTTTAGGGTTTGATTTGGGTTTTAGTCATGCCATATTGGGACATTTCAAGCAGTACAAGTCCTTTCTTGACTGCTCTGTCTGGATGGGTAAATATACTCACTGGAATATCCAATAAAGACAGAGCCTGTTCTCCATCCTGTGCTCATTCAGTTCCACTGCCTGAGTGTCCTTGCTCCTTTTTGGGAGGGTGGGTGTGTTGAGTGCTATCTGGTAGACTTCCAATTCTGTGTCAATGGATGGAAGGAAACTTTACTCCAAGGTGGGAATGCATAGCAAGGAAGATACAGGGTTTTTTTTAATTTTGTTTTTTTTCTAGGCCCCACATTTAGTAGACTTGTGCTGCAGCAGCCTGTAGCTTCCACTGATAGCCATGTAACCCTGAGGCATAGACTGTACACCCCTTGAGTAGGCTCACCCTCACAGTGAATGCCTGCTGAATAGTGTTTCCACTTCAATGACAGTACGGGCTTTATCTTAATGTGAAGATCATAGGGATTTCTAACAAATCACTGCATTGCTACTATTGACGTGTGTTGGGATTCAGCTTTGCATGGAGAGGAAGCTTTATTCACCTGGAAATAAGATTGTTTACATAGTGATTAATGAATAGACTGAGATACATTCATTCTGCAGTTACAAAAGAAATGGCAGCTCATATGGAGGTGACCAAATCAGCTTTGAACTGTGTAGCTCAAGTAACAGTAGCAGTTAGCAACTTTTGGTCAGAAAGCAGAAATACTCAGAAGATAAATGACAGCAGCAGCAGTAGTAGTGGTTGTTAATCTTCATATGCTGATGTTTCCATGAGTGCTTCTTAGCAGCTCTTTAGGTCATTTATGTGCAATGTGGACATGCTGTCTAGGTACTTGTCAATACTAGCTTGCAGATGAATTAAATTTAGATAGGTAGTTGATGCCTGCATGGTGTATGAAACAAACAGCTAGTTGGTACTGCTCAGGAAAGCTGTGGTTCTTTGAGGAGGATACTGGTGGCACTCAGCAGCTGCAGGGATTCATGGAAAAATATTTGCTTGGAAACAACATTTTTCATGAGCCATTCTGGTTGTTGGAGGGTTTTGTGTTTTTCTTTTATTGGGTTGTTCTGCAGGCTCAGGTTAGAAAGCAAATGCATAACAAGCTGTGCCTGCTCAACTGAGGAGCAGTGACATCTGGTAGAGAAGCAAGAACGAGGGTCAGGAAGAAGAGAGAGAAGCAATGGGATACAAGAAACCTTTAAACCACCTCTGCTAATGAAGGATTTGTGTAGTGGAGCTACACTGAGATTATCTGCTGCTGTTTGCTGTGTAAGCAAGGCAAGCTGGTGAGGACCATAACAGCTGAAGGATTTAAACCATGACTTGGAAATCAACAGTATGGGGGTGGTTTTACGGCTGCCTTCAGCTGATCTGGGACAGTTTTTCTCTTCCTCTTCCATCTCCAGCCATGCATTCCCACTCATTCTGCTGTGCTGGCAGTAGTCCTCCCATGCTGCTTGGTGAGCTCTGAAAACTAGCTGTACAGGGAAAAATAGTGCCAGCAGGAAAGAGCAGCTGAGGTGAGGAGATTAAGGAAGAGAGGGGACTACCCCTTTTGATGGCCCCACTAATCTAAGTTGGTTTAATGTGGCCTTGAAATCCCTGCCAAAAACATTGGAAAAACCCTCCTAAACATACTCCTTTGGGTAAAGAAGACCTTTAAGGGAGGTTTAAGAAAACTGTGTCTGAGCAGTGTGGGGAAGTTGACTGGCAGCTGATGAGCTATCGGCCCTGGTGCATTATTCACTCCTGCTTTATTGGCACTGGGGCTTTAGCTGTCCTTTTGGCTGCACGTGACAGTATAGTGAGGCAAAAGGCAAGCCAGCAGTATGTGACCTCAGGAGCTAGCTAGCTGCTGAGTTATACTACTGATAAGAAAGGAGTGGCATTGTCACCTGAAAGGAAGTGTGCTTTTCTCCATGTATCACAGGCTTGATACCCCTCCTCTAAATACCCATTTAGTACTTTAACCAAGGGTGCTCTGTCTTGCCTGATCAGTTTGAGCCACAAATTCAAAGTGAATCCCAGTGCAAACTATCACACTAGATCTTTCACTCTGAACTTGTTAAGTGGTTTATTTTATTTTGGTGGACTTGCACCTTCTGTAGATCCTCACAGAGGTTATTTTCTCCCAACCAGTAGCTGCTGGGAATAGCTACTGTAATTTAAAGGAAAAATAAACAGCTGAAGAAATGTCAATACTTAAATGTGCCACATCACACTTTGAAATGTGGTATTATAGATTTATGGGAAACTTGTTCCCCGCCCCCCCCCGCCCCAGCTTTTCTTTTACTGTTCTCTTCCCCGTTTGAAAGAAAAGATCATTTTTAATACAGCCAACAAACTAAGAATACAATATCAATACATGATTATAGCAGCATCATACAGGCTAGTATATGAGGTAGATTTCTTTTGAAACTCACTTGGAAGAAGAATTAGTCTTCGATTACTTGTTTTTCAGACTTATTTTCCCCTTTTGCTAATACCCACAGTATTTTCATTCAGAAACAATAGGCATTTGAGGTGAGCACTGAAATAGCCAGCCGGGAGGGTGGCTTGTTGAAATACTTGTTTCTGAGGTTGGGTCTGGGGAGTTCTTCATGTCTCCTCACATTCTGTAACTCTGGCAGAAGTTTTCGTACGAAAAGCAAAGTTACCTGTAGGTCATATAGGACCTGGCCTGATCTCTGGAGCACAAGGGCAGTAATGTGTCTGAGGTGGCTTTCTACGATTGCCTGGTTGTCACTGTGCCAGTAGGATGAAAGGTTGGTTAGGATGATTTTCCAGACATTGATGGAGTTTATCCCATCTCTTGACACCGTGCTTATGCACATCTCATTCCCATGCCCCCAAGGACAGAGGTGACTTCAAAACAAGGGCGTTCACGTGAGCTCATTTATATTTCTTTTGCAGAATATAACCACCTCATTTCTTCCTTCCTTAAAAAAACATTGCCATTTTACACAGGCACACAGGCTTTTTGATAGCGTATCTGGAATCTGGGGCACAGTTCTTCACTGCATTTTTCACACGCCTGGCTCCTTAATGCCAACCAAAGAGGAGGAAGGAGAAGGGGTTATGTTACATGAAGTGCATTAGAGGCTTTAGCATTGGTACTGATTCTGCTCGGGACCTGTCCAGGTTCTACAGTAAACGACATCAGCATTAAGCTCTAAAATAAATTAATCTAATTTTGTGCAGAGAAAGTTTACTAGATTTGGTTTAGGGCTAGAGGTAGGTAAACAAGCTGAAAGCCAGTGTGCTGAGTATATTTACTGACACTGGAATAAAAAAGTAAATTACACACTACCTTAACAGTTGCTGTGGATGTATTTTCACACATTCATTAGAGCTGACATGGGACCGTCACAGGCAATAAGCACTGGTGCTTACTGTAGTCGCTTTGTTTACAGAACTGTTTCTGGGAATGAGTTTTTCTGGAAAACACAGTATAGTCTAGGTAGCTAGGTTTATAAGCAGGCAATTTCTCCTGTTTTACTTGGAGAGACCTTTCTGTGTTTTCAGAATCCAGCCAAACCATTTCATAACAGTATTGGACTCTCCATCAAGTTCCTGTGGCTTTTCAAGTTCCTCTGCATCTGCTGAACTATGATGGCTATCCACACATACAGTCATAGACTCCAACACACCAGAAATAATCGGATTTAACGTGGCTTGAAACAGAAAAAGGTTAACGTTAAAGGCATTTATTTTCTGTTTCCTTTGGCTATGAGGGGTGTGTGTAGACAGTTCAGCTGATGAATGCTTGCTTGGTTGGGAGCTCAGGTCTTCATTCAGTAACTTTATTTCAGGTTTTTTTTTTTTTTTTTTGTCAGGGGACTGAAAAATAGTTTTATAAACCTCACAGCAGTCACAAGCTGGGAAATAAGAAATACTTTTCCTAATTGAAGCTGTAGAGAAAAATAAAGTAGACTTAAGGGAGTACACAGTATAGAAGCTGTGTCCACAGGTTTCTTGAATAGCTATAGCCTTAGTTTTATGTTTGCTTTTAGAGACAATACTCTCAGTGTTGTGAACTCATCAGTAAAAAATCTATGTGTTGGCTTAGGGGGGAATGCAACTTTCCTTGATTCAGTTAATTCTGTTAATAAGGCAGTTCAGTTAATAAGGTGCAGAAATCCAGCAGGTTCAGTTTTGAAGTACCAAAATGTTAGCTTTCTTTAGTTGCTTGGAAACACTGCTGCTTATCAAGTTGCCAAAAAAACCCTTTATTCAGTGCTTTAGTCTGTCCTGGCTATCTCCTAACCATGAGCGGTTACCAGTGCTTCTCTAATAAACGTAAAGGTAGTTCCAAATTCTTATGTCTCTTGCCCAGTGTTGAAAACAAAGTTAGGCAAGATGTTCAGCTCATGTATGCCATTGTATCATTAGGGTAAGTCATACTTTGCTGATTCATGTGACCTGAAAATGTGGTTTGATAATTTCTGCATGGACTGTAACTTAAGCAAATGCCTTCAATCACCTTCCACTGTGGATTTTGTTAGTTTTAAAAAATGTATTTTCAAAGATGCTAGTGTCTGCAGAGGACAAACATGTTCATCAGATGATGGCTTCCAAAAATCTGAACAGAATTCTAAAGAAAGTGCGAGTGGAAACATCTCTCTGCATTTCAGATCTCTTTAGATAAAGAGGTTTTTTTCTGTCTTCCTCAGCAATGAAATGTCCCACATATTTGACATATGATCACTGCCACAAAGCCTGCATAAAGCACTGTGAGAATAGTACCAAACTCAGTGTCTGCAAGGATTATCCCACAGAAGGCTGCTTCTGTCCAGACGGACAGGTGATTTTTAATGACAGCTGTGTTGATGAAGAAGTCTGCACACAATGCATCGGTGAAGATGGCACGCACCATCAGGTAACTATATACTTGGCAGCTTACCTTTGTAAGTGGTTGAGGTTCATACTTTTGCAAGTAAATCTGTCATATAAGTCTAACTATTTTCCCCTTTGGGTGCTTTATTTTCTAGCTCAGTTCCTCATAACCAGCCGGCTGTCAGCCCGATGTAGCTCCCCTAGTGTGAAATTGGCTGGGATGGATATAAAATTCACAGCTGGGACTGTACAGACCCGGAAATGCATGACAAATTTGTGTGGAGGGAGGTCTAGAGGAAAGAGAGGAGGGATGGCATAAGTCAATATTTACCAAGAGAAACTCCTCCATTCAGTAGGCTTTTACCAGAAATGACAACTTAATCATAAATCTGGAACCCTCACTTAAAATGTATTGTATTGTCTTTGCAAAGCTTACTGAAATATTTTCAGTGGTTGGTGTGGAGCAGTGAGACCAAGACGACCTTATGTCAAGTTGTATTAGTCTACCTCCTTTTTTTTTTTTTTTTTAATGAGAATCATTCCTTTGATTGAAATTCATCATTTTAGTTTTACTGAAAATCCACTTTCCTCAGCTAAGTCAGACCTCTCTGTGGCAGAATGGGATTGGGAAGAGCTATGGGTGCTGGGTGCCAGACTGCCATGAAAGAGATTGTTGATTTCCCTTTCAGCATCACATAGTGGGTGCACAAGCTCCTCCCTAAGTCCCCTGTTCCCAGTAGCAGGGGTTGTTCATCTTCACCCCCAGCTACTCAACTCTGGGAGTTTTCACCTAAGTCAGCCAGTCCTCTTAAATCTGTAGTTTTGTTATGAGACTTTAAGAAGAAGCGGCTTTAATTTCAGTATTTTATGGGCTTTAGATTCTTATCAGATTTTTGGATGGTCTTATCATACTCACCAAACCTGCTGTCAAAGACATAATTGTTTTTGTAACATAGATCTTCTGTAAATAGCAGAATTCTGTGTGTGTGTGGTCTATTCTTTAAGTAAAAAGATAGATTTTACAAAGTAAATGACTGTATGTACTCTGAATAGCTTCATTTTACACACAGATTTAGACCCACATTTAGTTCAGCAAGAAATGTGTTATAAACGTTTACAGTTAAACTGAAAGGAAGAAAAGACTATTTGTGGCTAAACCATCTCTTTTAAATATTGTTTGCATTGATTAACATGATGATACAAGCATCAAATTTAACAGAGCAAACACCTTTGTTTAGGTGATAGGGTTCCAGCGAGCAATGCACTAGACTTACTGAAGCAAGTGTTCCAGGCACTGCTGTGCCAATGCAAGAGTCCTGTAGCTTGCAGTTCTGCACCAGGAGCCCCGCGTGTGTCAGTGCAGCCTGCCCACGTACGAGACAGGTCCACGCGGGTCCAAGGATGCTGGCCCCAGCATCTCACCTCGCCGTGGCTTGTGACTTAGTACTGCCTGCTGGTACTGTCAAAGCACAGTGCACTGAAAAAGTGTTTTTCAAAACAAAAGGTTAGAATTTTCTGAAGGATTGAGCACATGGACCTCGTACTAGCTTTTATTTTAAGGTTGCAGTATCTCCATACATATGGCCACAATTTTTAATTTGTGTTCTGTTTTGGATCTTTGTTTTAAATACAGTATCATTGGATTTGTATAGTGCTTACAGAGTTGGTAAAGTGGAAGGTGGGAGAAAAAAACCCAGTATTTTTTGTAATAGAAGGAATAGAAAAAAAATCTTATTGTTTCCATTGAAGGAAAAAACAGCTCGCAACGTGTATAATCACTGCCCTGAACACAGATCGGTTGTGCACAACTCTTGGTGAGCCTGAGAACTCTAGTTATTATATTATGATTCTATATGAAATGGTAATTGCAAATGCAGATTAAAGCCTAGGATCTGTGTGCCTTAAATCCCTGAATCCTGAGGCAATGCAGTGCATTTTCCATTTAAATAATTGTTTCAAGCCCTCGTGGAGAAAAGCTCAGCACACATCTTGGGAATAACGTCTGCATGATATCTACACGTTTCTGCAGAAGTTCTGAAATTCATGAGTTGTCGCATGCCCCTTAATGGGGTTTTAACTCTGAAAACTTCTCATCTGTACCCCAATGGCAAGGCTTAGCTGCAGCTGCTGTGTGGATGGGGAAGTGGAGGGCAGGGGAGGATCAGCTCACACAGCCGTTTTGCATCTCTACCGTTGCAGGATTAGCTGTGTGAGCAATACAACAGGCAGTGCAACTGGTGGTGGGTTATGATTTCCTTAACCCCCTTCTTTCCCTCTGGTGTTCCTTCCTCTCTTCCCTTCTACCTCAGATAGTGCTTGGACTTATGGGATTCTCAGTATCAACACCTATATAGAGCTCTACTAACACCATGCTGTCTCTTGTCATTTCTTCTGGTATTAGAAAGAGACTCCTACTTAAGCTGAAGAAAACCTGTCCAAAAACTGAGGCTGCTGAAAATGTTAGAGCAAATGTTGTGATTCTCTTTCTCTGTTTTTTGAAACATCCACATGCTTTTCACATCACCACCTGCAAATGTAGGCATTCTCTATCAGCTGCCTTCTCAGGACTTTTTAACCCTGAGGCCATTGAATGCTCCGGCAGAGGGCTCCGAGTAGTTTTCCCAAGCCCTGAGATAATGTTTTTTGCTAGCAATACATCGATGCAAGCTTTTTTTGACAAAAATAGATTTCCTATAGATTAACTGACCCTATGCAATTTGGATCCTAAGCTTTGTTAAACCTCTGGTTGGCTTGTTCTAGCATGCCTGCTGTCTTATCCTTGCCGTGCTGTTAACCTTTGAAAGCAAACTGTCCTTTCAGACTCCTGTGATGGCTTAAAATACATAGACATCTCTGGGTACAGGTGGCAGTATGCTTAGATATTTCCTTCTTTTCTTCTTATTACTAAAGATCTCAGCAGACTGTTATTTTTAAAGTGCACTCCAGAGTTTTCTGGATGACACCTTTTCCCTCTGTGGCATCCTAACCCACTCTACATGTTCTCACCCAGAACCTGGATCGATTGTGCAAATTAACGTTATTGTCCCATAGTGCATCTTTTCACTCTTACCTACCTATTCACATGGGTTTTAAACATAGATAGTTCTGTATAGGTAACTACATCTTTAAAAACAGTGATTTTCCTCTCTCTCAAGAGAGATAGAGCAGTGGTTGAATACTGATATACTTTATTGGCAATTTCTGAATGCACTTATTACCTTCAGGTAATCACTGCAGTGATAGTTTCAGATTTGGGCTTGCTATAGTGCTTTTCCAATGTGCAGTCCACTGGGAAATCAAGTGATGACACACCAAGTATTCTTAATAAAAAATATGTACTGTTTATTTCTCTGTGTTTAAGTACTACTAATTTGGGAAAGCAGCCACTTCTGTGTATTTCCCAAAATAGCGTTGTTTCCCTTATTACCCCTGAACATCCAATCACGGTATGTAGTTGCATGAGTCCACTGTTACTCACAATAGCCTGCGACTGCATTTATAACATCTGAGCATTTTTCGTGCTTAAAACAATAGTAATTCCTCATCCCATTCACGCATTCTTTACATCTTTTGCTAAATTGGTACACTACAGTAATTTCAGAATGATGTGTCTCCTTAGGTTCTTACTGTTAACAGAGCAACCAACCAATCCTGCATATAGCCTTCTGGTTTTCTAATTTAATGTTGCTCAACCTCACCCACTCCCATTGCCAACATGCCAGTGGCCAGAATATTTGATTCCTTTCTAACAATCTGTTTTTTTTTTCATGCAGCACATGGAAACATGGATTCCCACTAATGAGCCTTGCAAGATCTGCACGTGTCTTGATAACAAGAAAGTAAACTGCACCGTCCGACCTTGCCCTACTGCCAAACGTAAATTTGTTTAGCTCTAAGTATGATTGGACTTGATTTGATGTTTTTGTTACCTAGTTTTCTAGTTCTTATCCAAACCTGTTTTATGGATGTTTTGTTCTCACTCCAGCTGTTCAGTGTGGTCCCTGTGAAGTCCCTCGTCTACGCAGGGACCCCGGCCAATGCTGCCCCGAGTACGAGTGTGGTAGGTTCTCATATACTCTTGGAGTTGTCTTGGTTCATATTTTTACGAAATGCTTCAAAGGGATACATTCTGTGTTTTTATTTAATGCAATACTCCATTTTTTTAAACCACTGAATGACTGTACAATCATCTATGTGGAAAAATAAACAACTCCTGAGGATGTGAGTCTCAATTCACTTCAAACCTGACTTTCTGTAAGAGATGAAGAAGGGAACAGAGCAATTTTTTTGGTCTAAATTACATTAGGATGGTCTTTTTTCAAGTATCTATTTTTGCATGGTCTATATTTGCACATTAAATATAACATAAGAACCTTAATCCTCATAACTCAAACTTGAACTGTTCCCTAAGCTATTTTGAAAACAAACTCTGACCTGCTGAACTCTAACTAACTTCATATTTTAGGGTAGCAATTGAGTATAGGGGGAAAAAAAGGTTAATCGGGACGTGCATGTGTGTGTGTATGTCTTTTCTTGAGGACTAACTAGTCAGGCGTGGTCTTAAACACTCTCTCAATTTCTCTTCTTAGTCTGTGATCTGGTTTCCTGTGATTTGCCTCCTGCCCCTGTCTGTGAGTTTGGCCTGCAGCTTGCTCTGACCAACCCTGGAGAATGCAGACCAAATTACACATGTGGTAAGATATTTTTTTTTTAGTAGGGAATGACACTGGAGCATTGCATTTGAGCAACACTGACAACTTCCTTTAGACATTTTATTCCTCTGAAAGGTTTAATTTTGGAGCCAACGGAAATGTAATGATTTCACAGACTTGGAAGAAGGGTATTGTTGGCACTTTCTGAGTATGCTTTTGAATTAAGGAAAAGAGAAACACTTTACTCTTGGATGTGTGTGCTCTGACCCTTATGCTTATTTTATAAATCTTTTTGATTGTATATGAGTCAAGAATTTTTTGGCAGGATAGGAACTTTTCCTGAACCTGCAGCACAATATTTGACCTGGGTCTTTTACATCTGCATTACTGTTTAGTCTTTAAGTATGTTTGTAAGAGTTTGCAGTAGCAAATTAGTGCCTTGCTGCCAGAGAACTGTCTTGTTCACTTGCAGCACTCTGAAATGCTGTGTGCTTGACATGGTACCTACCTTTTTCTGCTAGCGTGTAACAGAGAAGCATGCAGCCTAGTTCAAAGACCTTCCTGCCCACCGCATCGAGAGCTGACTGTTACGAAGACCACGTGCTGTGATAAATATGAGTGTACCTGCAGCTGCACTAACTCAACAGTGAGCTGCCCTTTGGGATATCTGTCCAGATCTCTCACCAATGACTGCGGCTGCATATCTACCACCTGTGTTCCAGGCATGGTAAGGAGAATGAAGTGTGGTTTCCACAGATGACAGTATCATTTGTACATGGAGTGACAGCACCAAAGTCAGTGCCTAGCTAGATATTAACAAGCCCCCAAAGAGACTACTGGATAATGATGCCAGGGCATTTTAAATTTACATGTGTGTGAGAGGAATACACTTGCATCACACTGTTGCTTGCTTTATTACAGTCATTTATTCTGACAGAACCAACCTTTTTTATGACTTTGAGGTAATCAGATGATTTTATATGTTCCTCATGCTTGAATGACCTTGAAGTTTCTAAGGTTAGCTCAGTTGGTTAGAGCATGGTGGTAATAATAATAATAATAAAAAAAAAATATATTATGAATTTCAGAGGTAATTTTGAAATTTTTAATTTGTTTCTGGATAACAGGGGTACATGCTTTTGGATCAGTACAGTTACTATATGTTCTATCAATCCTCTATTACCTTTATTGAAATATTTGGGACACCTTAGACCTAAACTCCTTGTGCCCATTGATTACCTTTGCCTCTGCCTGAGGAGGCATTGTATCTTATATGAACTATATTGCCACTTCAAAATTTTTGCCAAATTAATACCTGACTCTCTTCAAGTTTCACCAGGATATATTTTTCCTTATTTTGCCAACCTTTTATTAAGTTTTTATATAATGTTAACCTTTAAGATAAGGTTGCTTAGAGGAGAGGTTGCAGGGCAATGCAACCTTTTCATTGAAGCAACCTTACCTCACAGCTTAACATAGGGTTACCCTGTCTTGCAGCTCAGGAGATACAGCCTTTATCTTCTGTTCCTAAGTAGTTCATGACCTTGCATAAGTAATTTTATGTCTTTGTGACTTACTTGCTATATCTATAAAAATAAATTATGTTTGTCTCTTTAATAACATGCTCTACAAGTTACTAATAGAAAGTGCAATATAAGAGATGGCACTACTTTTGTGGTAGCTGTGATGGTCTAAGGTTACAAGAGAATGAATGCTTGTAGCTCAAGTAGGATCTTTTCAGATCAGCTGATTTAGCTGGAAGAAGTTTTGTGTGCACGGCTCCTTCTACAAAACTCACTGTTTATTATCTCTTAAATATTTTGTCACACTATACTTCCAGTGAAACTGACTCAGGCCCTGGGCAATTCCACCTACTGCAGATAAAAATCTCCAATTTATTCTTTATAAAACAGCAGCACTGGTTGCACTTATTTTCCCTTCCTCAACAGAGTGGCTACAATTTTAAGACCTGTACCATTTCTACTGGGTTCAAAGTATTCCATAAAATTTATGGTAGGTTTCATGTCTTAAAAAGCAGCCTTGTGGAGCCAGCGGTGTGCCCTTACAGCAGCAGTGTGCTCTTTTGTGTATTAATTGTTGCATTCAACAGGTCTGTGTGCACAACAACATAGTCTACCCTGTTGGGACAACCTGGGAAGATGGTTGCAGGGAATGCTCTTGCACTAGTATGAGGGATGATGTTACAGGACTTCAGATGATGGAGTGTCATGACAAAGCATGTAACACATTCTGCTCTCGGGTGAGTAACATTTAAACCGGTGCATTAGCCAGCAGAGCCCTGATGGGGATCTGAAATGATTACTTTTAAACCTGCATGTTTAGAGAAACCAGAAAAAAATAGAAAATAAGTGTTGTAGCAACAAATTATCTTGGGAACAGAGTCTAAGAAGGCCTGAGCATTACTGGCTTTATTTTAGAGTTATTGTTTTAGGATCATATCTTGCTGCCAAGGAAATCAGTGAAAAGTTTATTTTATATTTCAGTAAAAGGAGAACTGCATCCTGAAGTGTCTATCTTTTACACCACTTGTACAATAAGTACTCGTGATGTCTGAAGTTCAATTTCAAATGACTTTGTTCTAGCTGCAGTTCACTTTCTGAAGAGAACATTTCAGATCTGTCTATTGCTCAGCTCTGCCCATTGTAGCAGTAATAACACCACATGCTGTGGCCTTCATTATGCTCAGACATCTGCTACATGCTATAAAATTATGTGGTCTACTTTTGGAAGCCCACAAAGGAAGTATGAGCTGCTTTGTTGTATTGACATAGCTGGTCAAGCAGGAGGAGACAGGTACTTGGTACAAAAAGTTGGTAGAAGAATTCTAGAAGGGTCAAAGGAGTTGGTTAAAAGTCAGCAGCACTTGCCAGTGTCACAGATTAGAAGACTTTGACCATAACATGATTTGTGCAAACAGGAGTTCAAAATGTTTTTTACACTTTCTTTACCCAATTTACATCCCTAACATTCCTCACCTTTAACATAATGTATAACATAATAATAAGGAAGTAAAAAATCACTGTAAAATTAAATGTGATGCCCTAGAATTGCATTTTGCTTTGGTATCTAGCACCTTGTACCCATAATCCCCGAGCATTCCTATGTCCTTGCTTCATGAGGTTAGCATGGATGTGTCGGTCAGGGAGGACGGTGGAAATATGCAGCTTGGGTCTGCAGAAAAAGCAGACGGCAGAAGAGGTTGCCCAGCCCAGCCAAGTGCTGACAACCCACATCCCTTATCAACTGCCATGTGGCCAGCGAAGTTGTGCTGCAAACGTCAGAGGCTACCACAAATATATTTTTCCCCTTTGTAAAGCTTTCAGGATATACATGGATTAATTGAGATTGTTCTTGATGGTATTAGCCTATTCCATTCAGGAAAAGGCACATCTGACTTGAAGCAGTTCCCCCCTAGTTCATGTTCTGGTGTGTTCATAATCTGCCAGTTCAGTAGGCTGTGCAGGGTCCATGTGGAGCAACTAGATGTGGCTGTGTGGGATTCAGAATATTCCCTGCAGGTCTTTTGCTGACCCAAGGTTTTTCCCATGGGTTTGTTCTTCCCTGAACTGTGAAATGAAGCCCAGAAGAAGCCTATTTGTTTTTTTCCTCAGTGCAGAAGCAAAGATGAGCTAGTTAATGCTATGCAAATCTCCAAGTTGCTTTTGAATATAATATTAGGCTACATATTGCATTAGCCCACACAAAATTTGAACAGTTGACCAAGCAGCGTTTCCAAACGTGTGTTGTAACATCAGTGCTTTCAGTGGTTCAGTAGCCAATAACAGTCTGCATGTTGGCCTGTGACTCAACAGACTGCCCTGGTGTCATTACAGGTGACCAGCTGGAATTTGTCAGTGGGAAATGCAAAGGAGGGCATACTACAGCAATAACTGCAAAACCTTTTAAGTAAGAGGGACAGGTGCTGCTTCTGTGTTTGATTCACTGTGCTGACTGGGATGCTACTGTATGTTCTGGTTTTTCTAGTGCTGCATGTAAGACAAGATTCACTTGCTTTTTTCTGCTCCAGGACTGGTGTTTTTTCTTCTTGCTGGAAATGAAGTGAATCTCCAAACAAATATGTCACGCACATTCCCCTCCTCTGCCAAGTCTTCAAATCTTTGCAGCCTATTTCCCACTGTTTTTTCTAAACCTTTTAACTGGTTTTAAGAAGTCTGCCTTTTTTTGGAATGAATTCCATTTATGCAGTTGCATTCAGAACAGAGGCTAAGAAAAAATAACACATGATCTCTCTTCTTCCTCTTTGCTTTTGTTCAGTTACATTTGGAAGAAAGCTCTTCGTGAGCAAACGTTGTATATACAGCTATGAAAAGTCAGAGGTGTTCTTTTTGCTTTCAGAAAAACATCTTTAATAACGTGTCTGGGAGTCAAAGACTGACCTTGGGCGTAAGCATATATGTGCAGCACCTCATGGCTGAGTTAACATTGTTGTAGAACCCTGCATTGTCAGACTTGTCTAAAATTCTCATTTGAATTTACACTAATATGTGTTTTAAAACAGTTAATCATGCATTGAAATTTGACTATGAACGTTTCAGTTAAGCAAACCAATACCTGAAAAGCAGTACTCTTTTCTGAACTCTATTAAGCTAACTGTGTCTTGGTTTTCAAAGAATTTCAAATGCCTTAATACCTCTGTACTTCAATATCATTTAACTTACAGCCTCCGTAGCAGAACAAGTCTGGACAGCATATATATATGTGCGCTTGAGAAGGTGTAAAAGAAATATAAACTGGTTTTGAATAATACTTTGCTGTGTCTTAAACACTGCATAATTCCAGAACAAAAACCCGGTCTATTAAAAAAACTGAACAAACCAAACTAGTGCTCTTTCTGCAAGTGTAGAGTTTGGTGAGGAAGCTTGAGGATGCCCAAGGCAGTGAAAACCATGAGGGCAGATGTGAGAGCTTTCAGCTTTTGCAAGAGGATCCCTTTGATTTCCATTTGTAGGAAAGACTTGTTTCTAGTATGGCAATTATTATGAAATATTAGATCTAAAGTATCTGGCTGTGTTTTGGCTCACAGCCGTAACTTTAACAATAATCTGTTATTCTAATAAGGCATCATTAATGCAGAGCTACAGTTTCTTGACAAACAAGCCTTAAGCATTGCAGTGTCAAAAAGCTTTTTAAAACAAACAAAAAGCCTCGGTGGAAACCATGCCAGTTCTTTTTGGGAACCTGCCATTTCTTCTGGTCCTTTAATGGTTATCAAAGTTGTACAGCCAAAACCGTAGCTGTTGGAGAACCTGGATAGCTGAGACTTTCTTTTTAACTTTGCTTATTCCTGATTCAGTAGATATACATATCAAGGACTGCAGAAGTTTTGTAATCCAGATTGAATTGTCCTTAAAGCTTATTTTTCAGTTCAGATTACATGACATTGAAAGCTGTATTGACATCAAAGACATACTTCAATCATGTATCATTACTAAGATAATGTTCAAACTCTCTGCTGCTCATGGTTACTAATTCCATTGCCAGGTCTTAAAGTTGTGGATTATCATTGGCGACTGTCATCTGGTTTCTGTGGAAACAGCTTACAGTTTTTTATCTAGCTACACAAAAAGAGGAAAAAAAAAAATGTAATACATGAACTAGTTCCTTCACCCTGATGAATGAACGGTGCTACTGTTCTCCCAAGCATGACAAAATCAAACTCAAATCCTGTCTGTTGTTGTAGAATGTAAAGAAATGCTATGGAAAAAGAGTGGATGTTTCATTAAAATGAACCAATCCCACAGTTATCTTAGGACGTTAAGAGCAAATACAGACTTCTCACTTGCAAACCAGATATGGGTTTGCTTCGTTATATGTCATAGTCCCCTCACTTTTTCTGTCCTCTTTTACCTTTCTCTTACCAAAGTTTTGAGAAAGCAAGCAGATAATTGCTGTAATTATTGCATGTGCCACAAGGAGGAGTGGTGTCTCCCTCCTGGAACTTTTTCAGAAATTACTTCTTTGAGAGTGTATCAGACTACATCGCTTCAAAGAGTCATGGTGATAAAATGGATAACAGCTTTCAAAACACCTTAAAATCACTGGTATACTAATGTGAAGGGAGCACTTGCTTTGCTTAATTTCTTTCAATGTTCTTGGATTTAGGTACTTTGTAAGTGATATAAAAGAGTGTGGTTTAAAGTACTGGATAATTTAAAGTATTAGACGATTATGATAAGAATGAAGCATAATTTTCTGGGATAAGTGTTTGAGACAAAGCCATTTGGCTAAGTGTGTGTAAATTAATTAGGTTAGATTTTCAAGCCTCTTGATGACTGTGTTCAGTGAAAATAAAGAACATTTGCACCATACGTGCAAAGGCATAGTGAGTGACGGTTGCAATAGATGCTGACTATAAAATCTGTGGAGTTAATCTCCAATATTCCAAATGGATATCTTCCTTTGAAGTAGCATGTAAAGCAAGGTAGTAAATGGCTTAATATTGTGTATTAAGGAGATCAAAGAAATTAATGGAAGACTGTTGTTTGAATATTAGATGGGCAGGATCCCATTTAAAAATTGTGAAAATTCTTGGTGGGAGGTAATTTCAAACATCCTGCTTGCATTTTAAAGCATAATTTATTATGGAAATTAGGAAATGATACCTTAATGTTCTAGAGACTTGCAAATGGAGAATTAAGTCCTCACCTGGGGTAAATGAGTGTAGCTCCAGGGAAATCTCTAGAATTGTGCTGATTCATCGCCACTGCAGATTTTGCTTTCAGTATTTTGAGTTGATTTATATGCATCCTACTGGGTTTTTCTCAGACTACTGTTGCCATTTTCATTCTCTTTGCCTCCTCCAACCCTCTATACATACTATCATCTCAATATGTAAAAGGAAAATACTGGATCCTCCTTAAAAATACTATGTTGAGGAATAATCTCCATTCTTTCTTTCCTGCTTTGTTGGCCAAAAGGCACCTGACAGAGTTTTCTGCCCAAAACCTTAGCATCCATGAAAAGATGAATTGTGTATCCTGAGCAACTGCAGAACAAAAGAGGGAGTGTAGAAATATGCCAAACCATAGCCTGTGTGGATCCCTCCGGTAGTCTTGAGTAGGCAATGAAACCAAAATGTGCGTTCTCTGAATGCTACAGAATTAATCCACATTCTCCTTTTGTTTGTTGCAAGCCAAGCCCCAGTTCAAAAGTGGGCAAAATTTCCCCCCCCCCCATGTAGAATGTCTTAATCCATATGCTTTCACCCTCCATGTGGGAGATCAGCTTCATCTCAGCATTTGTATTTGATAAAACAGCCTGATCTGGCGGCATAACTGAGCACTCACCAGGTTCTCTGTCGCAGCTGCTGATTATCACTCCCAAGTCAGCCACGTGCACCTGTTCAAATGCGAGGGGTGCCTTGTGTTGCCTTATCCCTTACCTCCTGGGGCATGGGGATTTTTTTAGTGCTGTAGACTGTGATATGCCTCTCAGTGTCACAGACGGTCAGATACTTCCCAAGGGCTGCTTCTGAGTTTTAATTCCCTGTTTGAAGTTTGAACTCGGTGGTTAAAAAAAAAAAAAAAAAAAAAAAAAAAAGGGCAAGATGTGGAGGAGGAATAAAGCAGCAGATCCAGTCCAGAAAAAGCAGTAGACAAGCAGAATATTGCCTATACGTGGATCCTTGAACAAACCATGACAAACACTGGCACCTCTATACGCTAGTGTCTATATGCTAGAAAATGAAAAATAATGAAGGAAGAGACCGATACTGCTTACTCTGCTTAGTTTGATCTAACATTAACCTTCAACAGCACAGTATCTGAAACTTGTCAGATGTTCATGCTCATAGATTGTGCAGCTCAGGTATAATCCTGGTAGCATGTACTCTGTACATGAGTTATCTAACTGGAAAACAAAAACCCACAACAAAAAACCACCTCAAAATGCACAACACATTTTCCTTTTCTTAGATGTAATATTAAACATTACATGTTTAGAATTAAACATAAAATAAAGCTTTATTTATTTCCATGGGCCCAAATTTCCATGTTGTGAGTACAAAAGGTGGGTTTTTCTGATGGTGAATTATTTCTTATGCTATGGAGGATCTGTGACAGCAGGGAATCACTGTCCACCTTCTCCTCAAGTACAGATGGCTGCTCTGCTTTTTGAGGAGCTCATGAACTGCTGCAGTTTGCAGGTTTGTCTTCTGAGACAGGTTTGTAGGCTGCGGGGGTTCAGGGGCTGCTTTAGGAGGAGCTCAGCAGGCGCTGAGGTCAGGAGCTGTGATCTCCTGTATGTCTTCCCCTTAGGAGTCAGAGCCCCCAGAGTTTGAACACACCGAGCACCCAAAGGGCCACTCAGGCAGGTTGAACTGTCCAAAACCAACATATTTGTCCGTGCCTTAGGAGTGCAAATCACACCTGGAATCTGCTGTGTAGCACCTTTTTGTTTGCACTTTAGAGGGCTCTGTTCAAACCAACTTAGTGAAATTTGGGTCCTGCAGCTGGATTTTGCTTAGTCAGGATGCTGAGTTTATTCTGGGCACAAACAGCTCATGGATTTTTATTTCTCTGTGTTTGCCACTAAAATAAAAATTTGCATCCCATACTTCAGATACTGCAGACATGCATTTAGCAGATAAAAGTCATGTAAAGCAAAATGTTCAACAGCACCACTTTCCCCACAAAGCTAGGTCTGGTATTACATTGTATGACATTATAAAAAATGCACTTCCATATGAAAGCGTGCTGATTGTGGAGGTTTGCTATTGTGCTTCATATTGCAAATCAAGGACAGTTCATGAAGGGAGGGAGCAGTTGGGAATACTTCAGCAATTTCAGTTCAAAGGAGTTGACCAAAATAAAATTATGCTTATTTTCTTTGGCATTTTTCACACAAACAATATTTTCTTTGACAGAACATCTTTCCTTCAACTCTCTATTGAAATCAGAGTTATACTTTGCCCTTTGGAGACTGCCTAGCTATTAAATATAGAAAATATTATTTCTAATTAGAATAAAGCTCCTTGCTTTCTTTCACTTAGATATTCCAGTGTTTAAATATTTGACTAGTTGCTTCAGGAGATGAAAAGATGAAATAATCAGTCAGAACTGGTCCTTGGACTACATTCCTGACCAACCCTTTCCCTCTGCTTCAGCACACAGCAATCAGATGTCTGAATGTGCTCAGACTGAATCCTAACCTTGAAGGCTCAGGAATGGGAAGGGGAGTTATGAGTGCTGATTAACATCCAAGATGCCACTAGAACAATTTTTACCTTTAATTTTCTTTTGTATAATAGAATTATATTAAAAAAAAGAAAGTATTTTTTAAATACTTTTGCAATCCTTTGTAGGGCCATATTATTGGAAAGACTTGCTCTTTACAATTGCTAATGCATAAAAGAAACTGCTCACACACAATAAACTAACATTTGGAAATGACTGCTGTTTAATGCTGTTGAAATAGCTCAGGGTCCTCTGAAAGGATTTTTCTTTTACCTCTTCCCTTTCCATTTCTGTCTGTTTATAGCGTTATTCTTTTCTGCTTGTGGCAAATCTTCGTGCTATTACATATTTGAGCAGATCCTAGCAAAAGGAAAAGGGTTTTTTGTGATTTCAGATTTCTGTCTTTCTGTCTGTCTGTCTTTTTAAATGTTAGGCACCATCAACATTTTCTGCACTCCAAGAAGGGGTGCTCAATACCAGATTAAAGCAGCTGATATCCTTGCAAGACTAGCCCATTAGTTGATTTGCATGACCTGAAGAAGGGTAGTACCTAGAGTTAGTTGATGTAGCTGAAGTGAATATGTCTTCAAAATAAATATTAAGAAGGAACTAATGAGATAAGAATTTCTACCTCTAATGTGTGCAAATTCATTTTTTTTTTTTTGGACAAATGATGCTAACGATGTAACAGGATGATGAGCTGGGTGGACCACTTGTGTGTTTTGTAATAGCAGTGTGTGGCTTTACAGTTCTGTTTTCAAACTCCACTTTCCATAAAAAGTTGCTAACATTAAGCATTTATCCCAGTGTTTTCTTTTAGGATTAATCTTCTCATTTGTCTTCTATTCCTGGATCAGTCAGTCCTCTTCTTTCCTCCCACAGGGATACAAGTATATCATCCAGGAAGGGGAGTGTTGTGGGAGATGCCAGAAGACTGCCTGTGAGGAGCAGCTATTCTGGTCTCGGGGTGATGCAGATCCTCGTTTGCACGAGGTGAGGTGGCAGTGGTGTGGACTCTTCCTCTTCTAGCAGAAGTGCCCTGGAATTATTTTTGTGCTCCAAGGAAGGACATGAGGAGGTTACGTGTTACTTCTACATGGCAGGCAGCACTGAAAAACAATTTTTTTCGGGGGCGTGTGACTTACCCACTTGGTTCTAAAAAGCAAACCCTCTCTTCCATTTTCAGGCTCTGAGGAAGAAATCTGTTTATGTAAAATTAGTAATTTCACAAATGCTAGCGCAAAAGAATATTAACAGGTTATACTTCTCTGGCTGTAAGCTATTTGTTTAAATTATTCCCAATTAATTTGTATTACTCTACGGATAACAGGCGAGGGGGTAGTGGATTGCTTGAATTTCCTCGTCCTATTCAAATAGAACATCCTACTTGGTACACACTGAAATATCAGGAAGTAAATGAGGATAGAAACACGAACTATTCTCTGGTTGCTAAAGATGATTGCTCCATGTCAGATCAGACTGCAGTGGTCCAGGCCATGCTTGTTCTCTGCTCAGAATAACAGTTTATTTTCAGCAGTGTGCCTCTTCCCCTAGGATTCAAAGAACCCAACAGGAAGTGAGTGCATGCAACAGCCATTTAAAATGTGCTGCAGATACCCTACCACTCTGGAAAGCTAGGTGGATATTTGTTTCCTTTCTTGCCTTCATTTTTCATTCCTTCAGCCTGTTCAGTTTGTTCTGTCCCTAACCTAACCACCCTTGGCAAGCCTTTGCCTGCCCCAGTAGCATTAAATTGCTTAATCCTGTGCAGAGCTTTGGATTCAACAAAGGCAGGAACAGCAAGTAAATATGTTTAAAATAATAGACCTTCTCCTCATCTTTTCTTCCCTAAGTGTTGTTTGTTATAGTGTGTCTGCATTTTCGTCTACATCTCACTTCCACGTTTGATATTAACTTTTAAATAATTTCTTCTACAAAGGCAGTCTGCTGCTGCCTTTTCAAAAGTTAATGTAACATTTTGCAGCCTGCCTCTTCCCTGATTTTACCAAGGGCATTTCTTAATGTGGATCAATATTCTCCTCTGCTTCATAAAACAAGCCTTCAGAAGGCCTATTTTAATGTCACACTATGTCTTACTGATTTTGGTTGTCCTAATGGAGCGATAGATCCTTATACTCTGCTGTCCCTTTCTTTCTGTGTCCTCTTTCAACTCTTCTGTCAGACTGTTCTCTAAACTGACTGTTGCGGTAAGGATTTGTGGAGAACTCTGGAGTGACAGTGTTCCTGACACAGTAAACGTGCTTTTTGCAAACCAGCGTGTTGGCTGTGGTGGTCTTCCTGCTATCCAGTGGCACAAATACTGCTGCCTATATTTAATCCTTTTACAATTTCCCATCAGGTTGGCACAGAGTGGCGATCCCCCTTCAATCATTGCATTATCAATGAGTGCGTCCGGGTGAACAATGAAGTCTTTGTGCAGCAAAAGAATCTTTCTTGCTCTCAAATGGATGTGCCTGACTGTCCAGAGGGAACTGAACTACGCTGTGACCAAATAATAGACTGCTGTCCTTCTTGCAGATGTGGTAAGGTTTTGTGTATGACAAACAGAATCACTGGAGAATGAATCACCTCATGCGTTGATCTTCTGTTTCTCAACAGCAATTTCAAAAGTGCATGTTATGCAAGTATAGTACTACTTTGAAGCGGTCTTGTATAATTTAGACATTGAGTACAATAGTGCCTGCTGTTATTACTTTCTCTTTACAAGGTGTTCACTACCTCTTTTTGAACTACTTACTGTTGAAACTATTTTTCATTGCATCAGAGAGGAATACCAGGCTATGTGTCTACAGCGCTAGCCTGCATTGGTAAGCATTTAAAAGAGTTCTTGAGATGCTTTTGGCCTGGGAAGATTCAATGCTCTCCTCGGGGCCTGCTATGAACCGGCAGTTTGCATGCAGCCATGCTGTCTTCTGCATGTCTCTGAGCATTGTGGCTATGGCCATTTCCTAGCATAGGCTTGGGTCAAAAGTCCAAATCAGATGATTTGGCTAATTGGCCTCAGTCTGGGAAGACTCTCTAGTCAGGTTTAATTGACAAGTATGTATGCAGTCACAGGGTGAGGAGCTAGCAGTGGAAAGAGGAGGAGAAATAAGCACTGTAACTTGCAGAAAACCTGTGAGTGCATCTTCTGTGAGTGCAAGGCTTGCACTGGAAGGGAAAATCTACATTGTGCCATGTACTTGTTAAAAAACAGCTCAGCAAGGGATATTTGGAGGGTGGAATTCAGGATAGCTCTGACAAATTGTTACCTTTCAAGGTGTAATGTAAGAGGGCTCAATTATGCCTCTTTACAGTGAAACTGGATCTAAATGTCCTCAGCTGGAACTCTAATATTAAAGTAAAAAAAGCATACCTGTGGTTTATTAAATCTCACTAATGTTACGATAATGGTAAAGCTAAATGGAGTATTATCTTCTTTTTCAGTACCTCTGGATGGTTGTCCCTTGAATGGCACTGTTGTTGGGGTAAGACATGATTCCTTTTATTTGCTCTGATGGTAAGATATCTAGATATATAAATGAGCTTTTGAAGAACTTGCCAGAATACAGATAAGTGTACAGGGCAGCTTTGTTCAGACAGAATCTCTGCAAGTGGGACCTTGGGGTAAAAGCAGTGGCAAGGGGCTCAGCACGTGTGTATCCAGTTCATGACCCTGCCACAGTCCTCCTGTAAGACAATGAGTATCTCTGCAAAATGGGGACAGTAATGTTTCCTTATCTTGAAAGGATGCTTGAGAAAAGTGCTTAGAAACTGTGGTAATCTGCGTTGTGTCATGACTTGCAGGCTACCAAACACACAGGAAACTCTCTGCAAGGGATAATCTCAAAAATGATCCTTGCCCACCTTGGGGAAGCAAAAACTTCCCGTATTCTACCTAGAGGATAAGGCAGATTAAAAAAGGATGGAGACTCTTGCTCCACCTGTGTGGAAGGAGGGGTATCCCTCCTTGGCTATTAGTAGGAACAGGAAAGCTGAGCTTCCTCACTGTTTGACCTCTGTCCCCTTTCAAGATCCCTGCTGATATGCCCTCAGAGGAAATTTTTTTCTCAAATGCATATTTAATGGATAGATTAAGACATGTTTAACCCAGCCTATGACAGTGGGAATGATGGGAGTTAAGGATCTGATCTCATTTATGCCGAATTTATCTTTGGAGAGCTCTGTCAATTGTTCATTGTTTCCCTAAATCCATATTCTGGCAGCACCTCTGGTGTCAAAGAGCTCTAAATATTCTCATCATTCCCTGGGGAAACAGGTCCTCTTTAGTCATTTAACCTAACTTTTAACCTATGTATTCCTGCATTGTCAATGTATGTCTGTCTTTTTTAATTTATTTAAAAGGTAAATTTACCCAAATCTCTTTGGACTTTTGAAATATGGCAGAGAGAACCTTTCTCCATCTATTTCTTGTGGTTTTGATCTTTTAATAGGTGATGGGCACAAGTTTATCAGTTTGTTAGAGCTAAAGCCCTGTCATCAAGCATTCGTCATTCTGTGTGGGGATTACTTCCCTGTAGAATTAAATCCAAGAAGTAACTCTGCCTTTCTTGTCAGAACACTGGGAGAAGGATTTTAAAGTGGCAAAATCTGAAATAATCTGTTTTCTCTTTGATTCTTCTATTTGTCTCCTCTATAGTATGTTGTCAAAACTAGTTGTGGCATTTTCTAAAGACCATACTTGTAGAGAATGTCATGCAGTATAGTAATTGCTAGCTCCTGCCACCTCCTGTTATATAGGATATGCATATATATATGTGTATATTCTGTGTTGTAAAACGAAGTTGTCTTTCCAGTTGTATGCTGTTCTTCCATGAACAACTGTGATCCACTAGTTTTTTTCTCTTCCAACAAAATGTTTACCTGATCTGTCAAGTAAAGTCTTTGTTCTATTTTCAAGTGAAATGAACCATAAGCAAATTTTGAAACAAAATGTCATGTCGAAGGCAAAATGAGAAGTATCTGTATTTTGAAGACTTAAAAATAAATTATTTCAGCTTCTACAATATTGAAAATAATTCCTATCTTAAAATCTTCCCAATTTGGAATGAATTCATAAAGTGTTTCAGCGGACACAAAGCTACATTTTGACTCATTCTTATTTTCTATCTGACTATATATAAAAGCTGTCTTTAATATTTTTTTTAATACAGCTTTTAAAATGTGTTATTGTTCTTCCTGACAATTGAACATTTTATCAAACACTGCTTGGGCAAGGTTTTGAGGGTGTAGGTAGGCCCCAGCTGTTAACGTTACTTCTGTGCCTTTGCTGTTGCAAGTGTCAAGCATTACTGAAGTTAGCATTCAACAATGCAGTTACCAAAATATTTTCTCAGGATGGAGAGTGTGAAATTCAAGTAGAGATATAATCTTGGAAGATTTCTAAACAAAGTGGCCATTTTGATTTAAAAAAAAAAATGAATTAGAGTTTATATTAGAACTTGTCATAAATTAATGAACTTTTCAATTAAACTAGCTTCATTTAATGACTTACTGTAAGCTAATTAGTTATATGTCTGAAAGCTTTTAGGCAGCTGGCGTTACTACAGCTTTGTCTTACGCTATTCTCTACTTCAATGACTGTTCCAGAGTTCTGGTCAGGAAGGAAGATGTGGTGTCCACAGGAGTTTATACTTCCTGGATTTCAAAACCTTTATTCTGGGTTGTTTAAGAATAGGTTTCAATTTTCATTTTATATCAAGGGAAAACTTTGCTCCATTAACTCATTCACTGAATAGTTCCAAGTTTTGAGTCTTTTACTGCAGTTCTGTTAACTGACTGTGTCCTTAATCCCTTTACATTTTGTCTTGCATCTGGTTACCAATATTATATTCCAGTATTTGGTGTATTGCGTTCACTCCACTGTTCTTAACAATGCTGTGGGCTTTAACTGCAGAATTCCAAGCAGGTGGCTGTATTTACCAAAAGGATTATCTGTATCACTCATCTGTTTTCCCAGGCTTTTACTGAGTGGCATTTTTGAAGGAGATCTGAGTAGATTTGGGCTTCATGCAGGTTATTTTGGTTGCACTGACTAACACTGGGTTAGCAGATGTTGACATTTCATTCTTAGTTTGCCAAGAAAACACGATAGATGTATTACATAAAGGGGAAAAGATGTATCAATCCATTATTTCACTCATTTCTGTCATGCTAAGCTATGTTTGTTCACAGAAAGCCATTGTTAAAGCCATTTGCATGCTGATCCCTAAATACATTAAATAAATATCATAGAACTAAGCTGTGATGCAAATTTTGGGTCAAGGTAAGACTTTCCCCAAAAAGTTCAAGGCACTTGTATGTGAGGATTTTGTTTCAACATGTCTCTAGCAAGCCCTATGTTCCTGCTCATAACAGTGATTTTAGTATAAACTCAACTTTATCTGTCTTTTTTGTATTTAATTGGAATGTTAGCACTATTAGAAGATCCAATGAGGATATCAATTGTGATATTAATTGTAATATCAATTGTGGCTTTATAGATGCTTTCTTCCTGATGTGAAAGCCTAGAGCTACTGAGGCATTCTATGATAAGCACTTACTTTTAGAGGGCCTGAATTAAGTACAGTTATAGTAGTAAACAAAACCAAACCAAATATTTTTTGAAATGGGTCACCATGATGAGGACATCTCCCTGATTTGCAAGGCTTCTGAGTGTACAAGCACATGCATGTGTGGAGCTGCTAACCAGCAGAGCAATACTAGTGTCAGTGGATTGAATGCCCTTGTGAGGCCATGTAGTCTGTACTAGAACTATCACTCCGGTGTCCGAATGCTTTCCAATGTTGAGAGTAAACAAGAAGTCTAGTCTTTCATATGACATTTGCTATCCTCTCCCACAGGAAATTGTTATGTGTGTCCTCATGCCTGCATCCATTGAGGTCTTTAAACCCTCCAGATTAATGACCTATATAATGACCTATGTAGTTTGCTATAAAAGGTTAAACCAAGAAAGCTGAAGGGTTCTGTGTTGAGGTCTCAAGCTGGGTTGTTAAAAGACAGGGATCTCCCCATTGGTATTACCACCCCATCATGTTTTTGTGGAGATCTTTTTTTACAGACCACCACAAAACAAGAAAAAAGTTATTGCTGGTGCTTTATAGAAAACCACTGAGCCCTGAGGACCTCTGTTGTGCTGGGGTGCAGAGTAAGAATGAAATGAAAATTCTTTAATTAGAACATTTGTCCTTCAGTGTATATGTCAGAGCATTGGCTCTGAGCTACCCACAAACCTATCACCTTTACACTGTTACTCTGGCCAGCTTCTTGGTTGTGCTCCATTTGTTCCATGGGTGTTTACTAGTGTGGAACAAGAAAAAAAGGAATTTGAAGATATGCATAGTATGTAGCATGGGAAATTCCTGTTCCAAATGAAGTCAACAGTGAAATTCCATTGACATTTGAAGCACTGCTCAAAGCTTTTATAATGTAGTGATATTCAGTGTCTATTTATTAGGTTTTAGAAGTTCTTTGTGAAAATCTTTAATAGGCTCCTTCCATTTTGTCCATTCAGCCGTAGTGGTTTAATATTTTGAAGTTGAAATGAAAGGCTGCGCACTTGGAAAGCAGGAAGACTTTGTATTTAGAATTCCTTTCAGTGCTAGGAATCCAAGTACTAACTCCACATCCTTTTGTTTCCCATTTAATAGTTTGGCATTTTCCTCTGTATATTTTAAATGCCATTTTTGCTTGCTTTGAAAAGGTGATGCAATCCAGCAAACAAGGTGCTGGGGAAGAGCTCAGGGAATTTGAATTGTGTGCCAGCTCAGACACTGATTTGCTTGTAACTATGGACAAGTCCAGTTCTTCACTCAGTAGTTCTGTTTGGTTTTTTTTCTTTCTCCTGTCTGAATTTTAAGCTTTTAAGCCTCTAGAAATTCTAAGCAGTGTTATTACAAGAACAATAACAAGTAATTTCTGTTGATGATGGGTTGCGATGGCTCGAGAATAAAAACTTGGTGGCAAACCAATTCACTACACTAGGAAAAAATGAACTGGTGGCAACCACCTAACACAGTCAGGATAGCTCATGATAAGATCTTCCTCATCACTTTCAAGGATTTCTTTCTTGGTTGCTAGCTTTTAAGCAACGAAATAAGAAATGCCAATGCCATTTCACAGATTAAGGAATTCTAAAGGGCTTACTTGAAAAATAGCCTCAAGCTATGCTGCTTGCTGTGGAATTACAGATGCAAAAATTTGGGTCTCTGGAAAGTGGGGGCATCAGTTTTCTGTTTTCTCTTGCGAAGAATTGCAATGCAAGATTTAATGAAAGAGATTTAACCTAGATAAAATTGCTCATTTATTTGAGTTTTGCTGAAGAGACAGTCACTGACTTACAAACTGGTTCTAATGTTTCAGCCATGGAGACGCCTGATGGTGGATCAATGCACAACATGTCTCTGCTCCCTCCAGTCAACATCTTCTCGGAGATACACTCTGACGTGTACAAAATTAAGCTGTGAACCATGCCCAGTAGTAAGTGCAAGTGGTCTGGATGTTCTGGTTAAGAATGTGTCTGATGAGAATATTTATTGTATACACCAATTTATGTTCTGTATAACTCTGGGACCTGTTGCCTTTCTCCAAGATTTTCTGAGAAGTTCTTGGCCTTGTATTCTTCTTTCCCTGAATTAGATCAAATATACCCAATGTGATCTATATCCACATTGTAGGAAAAGGTAACTTTTCATAGTACTCGGGTCCACAGGAACTTTTATTTGTGTTTAGTTCAGACTACTTACCATCAGGGCAAAATAAGTTTTGGCATATCGTTGGCAATAGGAGCTGCTGTGTCTCCTTTCCTACAGTATTATCTGTCCCTCCATGGACTGGCAGCTCAGCCAGATCGCCATTCTTCAGGGCTTTCCTGTGACTGTTCCAAATTGTCTAATAGCTGAGCTCACTAATCTTCCTGGTTCCCAACCATGCCTTAGATGATTTGAGTTGATTGTCCCCATCAGTTCCACTGGCCTTTTTGAAGTCTTTGCTGCTGCTTTGCTGCCATTATCTGCAAGGAATAAGCTTGGCTGGGAAAGCCAGAGGCAAAACCCTTAATTGGTTTAGTGGTGGACTTGGTAATGTTAGGTTAATGGATGAACTGGATGACCTTAAAGGTCTTTTCTGACCTAAACGATTCTGTGATTCTATGATTCTGTGAAATAGCTCCTGTTTTTACTCCACCAACAGTGTGACCTGAGTGCCTGACTAGTTCTGCTCAATCATGTAGTTTTCTCTCTTAGCACTAATACCTCAAGTGGAAGCTAAGCAAGTTGCAGAGGCTGGCTTAATCTCCCCCTGTCCGAAAAGCACAGACCAGCAGCTAAGGTTTACAGAAAAAGACTTAAATGCCCCCTCCTCTTCTGCCTTTCCCTGGATAATGGGCCAGTGGGCCCAACCAAACCCAGGGCTTGTGGAAGCAGTGGCTGTTGCACCAAAAAGCCGCATTTCGAACATGATGATACAGGATTCTGGGCTGATATCCAGGAGAGGCATAGATTGATAGGGTCCCTGCAAAAGAGAGGGGCAGAGTTTTGGATGAGTCCAGTTTTCAATCCCTAAGTAGAACTGGAAAGGACAATATAGTAAGTCAAGTTTCTGTGGTTTCATCTTTACTAATAAACTAAACAGAGCAAGACTGCAGGCTCAAATTACATCCTGCAACCACTTATCTTGATGAATTGTCAGCAATGTCTGAGCTGGCCTGTTCTAACTAGCAAACCTCCAGATAATGCCTGGGCACAGGTCAGTAGTTAGGACAACCCAAGGCCAGCCTGTTTTGTGGGGATAATACATTTTAGGCATGCATATGTGTTCCACTTGTCCACAGGGCCAGAAGACTGGCCTTGACCCCCTTTATTTGCTGGTATGGATGTAGCCCGTGACAAAAGGGAGAATCTGGAATCCTCTGTGTGGTTCTGGACACTAACATCACCCCTCCTGTAAGGTATGATTATAGACACAGGCTTCTGAAAGGAAAATAAACGGCCAAGCTCAGTGCTGAGCATCTTCCTCACTTGCACAAATATAACCTGGCAGATCAATGAAAAAAACCCAGATACACTAGAATGAATCTGTGGCCAGAAACATGTGTGAATATGTATGTTCCCACACAAAAATACACAATTCTTGCTTTCCAATGTAAGAAGCCAGCTGTAGAAATTAAAGGCATCAATAAAAAACATGGTAAAAAAAATGGGGAAACATTCCTCTCCTCCTTCTTTCACCACCCACACAATTCCCAAACAGGTCCTTTCCCCCACCTGACCCAAAAGTACAAACTAAAAAAAAACCCTGAAGAAAGGGCAATTTCCGGTTGGGCCTATTAAGCGCTGTGAACTTATGTTCAGGAGATGTGCAGCTACCCAAGGGAGGTTGCAGGTCTAGGTGTATGTATCCCTTTGTACCCATTGTAACGAATCTGTGGAGCTTGAGGGGAAAAAATATCAAATAAGATACAGAATGTCTTCATCCCCCTAAGGCCAGTGGGATTCACACACATACTTGGGATCTTTCCTGTCTCAGAGTCATTGATTTCATGGTATACCCAGATTAAAAGCAATTTCTTCATAATGGATAAAAATCACGGGTTTAGAGTATATAGTCTCTCAGGAGCACCTGCTTTCTACTGGATGCTGAAGCTGTGAAAGTAAACACAATGGTAATTGAAGTGCAGCCAACTGCAGCATACTCTGCTCATCAGGGTCATTTTTTTTTGGTCATTTTATGACCTACTTTAGGTGCTTACATTTTTGCTAGTAGAGCAAGTTCACCTAAATAACAATGAACTATGTCTTCTTCCAATGATTTAATAGTAACCCCCCACCCTCCCCAAATTCTTTTTCTATAAAAAACATATGGATAACATGCATGCCTTCACTCAACCAGAAAGTGTTTGTTGTCTTAAAAATGTTCAGCTCATCATAAGCAGCTGTTGGTTATGTGTAGCAGCTGGAGACATTACTGTGGGACACTTCATGTGTTAACTCAGTTCCTTTCTGGTTTGTTTTTTTTTTTTCTTTCCATTATCCACTCTATACCTTTCTTCCTCTCCATCTAGTGCTGCTCATTTTCCCATGCTCCTTTCCCTGCCACTGGTTTTCCTTCCTGTGCCATTTGTGGGTCTCCATTATTCCTTTCTTCTTTCTCTCTTTCTCTCTTTCTTCATTTTTTTTATATCATACCCTCTCTGATGCTCTTTTTACTTTCTTGTTTTATCAGGCCATTTTCTTTTTCTTTCCATAGTCCAAATTTTCCACCTTAGCCTTATTCTCCCCTTTCCCTGCCCACTGCTTACCGGCTATCTTGCCCTTTTCTCTTAGTTTAAGCACTGTAAACTACTTTTCCAAGTTGCACTGTGTAGTATTCATTAGCTTTACAGAGAAGCTCCTGCACACCACAAATATGAACTGTATGTCACTCAAAACATTTTAATAAGTTTCTTACACTGTCCTAGTGTCATGTGTTGTTTAGTGGTCCTGACCTTGCAACTGTTATAGTCAAAGAATATTGAATTTAGTGGACACAGGAGGCTTTGTATTTGGAAATAAACTTCTCTCTCCATTGCACAATAAATCAGTACAAGAATTAATGCCAGCCTTTATAAAACACAAAACAAAAGTATGCAACTAATTAGATTAAGCTAGTGTAGTCCTACTCTTTAAAAGAGTATTTTTCTGGCTATCACTTTGTCCACTGAGTTTTTTTTTTAAAAAAAAAAACCCTCCTCAAATAAGTGTAGGAAGCATGCTTAAAACAAAATAAACCCAGAAAAATGTCCTTTACCTTCTAGAATTACAGAAGGCAGGAAATCCCTGGCTCTTGCTGTGGAAAATGTGTGCCAACTTCATGTGGCATTAGGCTGAGAGATGGAAGGCTTAAATACCTTCAGGTAAGTTTTAAGCACTCTTTCTTTTATTTATGAGTAAATGTAAATGTAGCACAGACTTCTGGTGAACCCAAGGAAATGGCCTCAAGTTGCACCAGGGGAGGTTTAGACTGGATATTAGGAAAAATTTCTTCACTGGAAGGCTTGTCAAGCATTGGAACAGGCTGCCCGGGGAAGTGGTTGAGTCACCATCCCTGGAGGTATTTAAAAGACGTGTAGACGTGGCACTTAGGGACATGACTTAGTTGTGGACTTGGCAGTGTTAGGTTTACAGTTGGACTCAATGATCTTAAGTCTTTTCCAACCTAAATGATTCCGTGATTCTATGTGGGGGTGTGGTTTTATGTTTTTTGTTTTTTTTTTAAAGAAGCTCCCAACTCAGCCAGAAGTTAAATGTTCACATATACGTTTCTTAAAAGACAATTCATAAACCAAACTCCCCAGTTTCTCACTTAGACAAGCTTCTCTTTTAAGTTAATGGAAATTTCTTTCCTGTTAAGAGCTGAAAAAAGTCAAGTTTTGGCAGTCTTGACTGAGCTGTAATCAATATGGCTATGGAAGTAAATAGAAGATTATGACTTTGTTGATAAAAAATCTGTTTACTAAAGATTTCCATGTTTTATAAACTTCACCACCATGGTACAGTAATTGAAATATCAGTAAAGGAATAGTCAGGTTGTATAGTATCCTGAAAGCTTACTGTCCCATGTTGTTTCTGTGTAAAGCTAACAGTCCTTAAATCTTTACAGCCAAATGAATCACTTCAGGATGGCTGTGATAATCACTCCTGTAAAGTAAATGAAAAAGGGGAATTTATCTGGGAAAGGAGAATCACTGGCTGTCCTCCATTTGATTCTAGAAGATGTTTGGCTGAAGGAGTAAGTAGTGAAATGGGTCCTGTTTCCAGGTTTCCTAATAGACTCTGTCATGTTTATGGTTCTGTATATAGGTACCTTATGTGTATTAGGGTGGGAAACCCCAACCCTCTCCCAGCACCTTGGCTAAACTGAATTTGAACTTTCTTTGAAATTCAGAAAACTGTAAGTTTTCTTTATTTTAAAAGATATGCTGGTTTTATGTGGGACTACACTGCAGGGGTGATGCTGAGCTTGCAGTAATTCTGTTCCATATGAAGCAGCAAACGTAAGAAAGTGGTTGTTCTAACAATGTTTTCAGTTTGGTATCCAGAGCAAAACTGTGCGGATAATTACACAAACTGAGAAAACAGTCACATCACCCCCTTTTTTCCTATGAATATGCATATGAAATGCTAAGACATTTTTTCTCTGCCCTCGTATGAGGTTAGGGAAAGGAATTTTCACAGTGCTGTAGGAAGAGCTCAAACTTCCACATTTGCGGTTGTTTGGTATAGTGGTATAATAAAAACCCTACTCAACATGTCCACCCATCTTTCCTGTCATTTGAGGTTAGCCATACACTGAGGAACAGAGTGCAGGTCGGGGTGTAGCACCTGGGGTCCTGCTTTTGCTTATCTAGCATCACACAGGTGTTTATGTCCACCTGTCCCCATTTTCTTGGGCACAACAGGAAGCAGGCAAACCTTCAACAGAGCCTGTGCCCAAACCTCTCTCTACACACACATGAAGCAAATGGAGGATTTGATATGTATAATGCAGGAAGAATAAAGCTTCTACAGTGCTTTTCTCACTTTGTGAAATCAAGTTATATTATACAAACAAAGATTTAGAAAAATGCTGGATTATGTTACAGGCTTGGGTTTATTATCATATTCTAAAGGTCTTCATTGAGAATCAATGAAGAATAATTTACTTTTTAACCAGAACTTCCCAAACTGCATTTCTTCTCCTCCCATCCAAAAAATTGAACTATTTCAGCTATAAAATTAGTGGTTTCATCTAGTTACAGATGGGAAGTTTAGGTTTTTTTAATTAAAAAAGTCTCCAAACTTTTGCATGTAAGTTCAGGTGTGTAATGCAACAATAGCATCATCCTGCAGTATAAATATTTCTCCATTTTTCCTTTCACTGTGGGTTTTCAGTAATTTTCCACCATACATATATTTCTGAGAATTATTTTCTACATGGTAGTAATGAAACAAGAAAAATAAAATTTTTGGCTGTTAAAACTTACTTGACAGCTGTGATATTTTATGATGATTTGCCTGTACATTTTCAGCTGTTGTGGAATAGGCATGCTTTCATCTATATTGCTAAAAAAATCAAGAAGGACTGTTTAACCTCCTTTCTTAAACAGACATGAGACTTGAATGCTATTGGTGTTATCACTCTGCTTCCCAGAAATTTATTTGTATTCAATGTCTTTACTTTAGAAAGCTCCTAATATAAGGTGAAAGCAATATTTTCAGGTGTTGAAATTGGTAATATAATAAATTATTTCCAATCAGCTATCAACAAATATAATCAGAAGTTCAAAACCTTAAAATGGATAAAGAGATGATTACTAATGTATTTTTGTACAATATAGAAATACAATTTCCTTGCCTAATACCCTGTTTTAAACATCCCTTTGTATTCTTCCAGCAGAACAAATGTGTGTTACTTGTGCCAAAACAGAAGTTTTCTTTTTTTTATTGTTTTAGGGCAGAATTGCAAAAATTGGCAATACCTGCTGTGACACATGTAAGTAAATAAGCCAAAACTCTTGTATGTAAATTGCAGAGAGTTTAAGCTACTGTGTAAGGAGCTACATTTTGCATAAGATGCAGTTTAATGAGACAGCGCTAAGCAATGTGGTTAAAGTAAACCATCAAACAAGTCTGCCCTCTGATCGGGATACTGCTGTCATGTTTTGTCCACTAGAACATGTGTTTTGACAGTATTCACAAGTGCTTAGAAAGAAATAGACACTCTCCACATTTTATGCAGATGTTAATTATAAATGTTTTATTTTATTGTTCATCTAAAGATAACAGGAACAGTATTGCACACAGAGGTTGACAAGTCACATAACCCGATACTGAATATGTGAGGCAACCACTTCATGAATAATCAATCAACTTAAAATGAATTTAGAATTAAAAACCTGGTGGCAGTAATGTAATTTTGATTGGTTTTCAATAATGCAATAACCAAAAAATGGTAGGGGAAATGCTTGTCAAAGGTGCATTCCTACTGATGCCTGACCACATCTTAAATACGGCAGTTAAGGAGTCAGTCTTGCAGCTCTTCATTCAACAATGCATGAAGCATCACTGTGTAGATAATCCAAATGTCAGTCAGGCTGTAAGTGTAGGAATGGTTTGCTTGCAGGACAAAGGATTGTAGGGTTGGGTTCTCATTTCTAAAATGAATCTCTGATGCTTTTGTGAACAGACGACCTCTTGGTTTTCTCCTTTGTCAGTAAAAAATTAATAATACTGTAGCTCTTTTAAAGTAAAAGAAAAAAAAACCCAAGTAACAGAAGATTGATGTTCTCTTTTAAGGTCAGAATATCAACATCTTGCCTGTGTTCCGTTATCTCTTTTTTTTTTTTTTCTCCCCTTTTTTCTTTTTTTCCTCTGTGCATGCACTAATAAATAAAAGATGGCCAGCATAGCAGCCCATCACCACACTGGCACAGTAACTGCTGTAATAATACTCCTGATGAGGGACGTTAACTCCTAGAGAGTTTGCAGCTATTGCCTGTCTGTATAATCTGGCTTTGGAAATAGAAGTCAGAAAGATATTGAGATAGACTGTCATCAAATGGCTGAAACAGGTAATTTAGTTAAGAAAGAGTTAATCTACCAGGCTTCAAGTAAGGATTATTGAAAATTATTTATTAAAAAAACCCAGATTTTAAGATTTAAAAGACAGGGTGGTGGGCAGGCTCTACTAATTCAGAATGCCTATGACTGCAATTGAGGAGAAACCCAGTTCCAAATGAACACAGCTTAATACATCTATTTATTTAACAGTTATAGTGATTTAAAAGTGAAACCTCCTTGCAGCAGCAAAAGCAAACTGATCTAAGTGCAATAACGCGTGCCTAAAACCAACCATGTTGTATGGGCCTTCAAATCCTTATTCCTGTTGATGTTTGCTTGGATATAGCTCAAAACTGAAAAGTCCCTTAGTACAGCGCAGTCCTATTTCTGGTTTCTTCTCTATTCAGGACTCTTCGTAAGGAAAAAGCCAACAGACCGCATCCAGCCAACTAACCGCGGGTTATCAGCTGAAGGACAGTGATTTGAATCAGACAGACGCTTCTAGATACCAAACTCTCTTTCTCTCTCCTCTGTATTTATATCTTTCCACCAGGGCGCTCAGTAGCAACATGCAGTCTGTTTACATACTCTACAGGGAACACCAAGGCTTGGCAAAGCTGCTGTAAAACCAGAGTAATTTCATTATTCTTAAAAGTCAGATAAAAGAATAATCAGTTTCTTATGGACACAGAGACTTAGATATAGGTTACATTGCCTTCTCAGGTCTTGAGAGAGTTTGTCTTTCAGACACCTCGGTACCATAAAGAATTGGGCAAAGAACTTGTTCTCTCAAGTTCAAAGCACAGTTCAGGGTGATGCTTTTGGTTCAGTAGAGTCCTATTTGGCTTTGAGCAAAGATTGTTTAAGAAGCCAGCTTCCCTTTCTATGTTATGCCTTGGCAGTTGGAGTTCATTAGTGTGTCTGAGAGCATTGTTCCAGGTTTTAAGTATGTAGGAGCACAGAAGTGAACAGGCTTATTTTCTCATTAGATTTTTGTGGTACTAACAAAGGACTTGATTATTTGCAAAGGATATTCCTTATTTTCCTGCTTAACAAAGAAGTTGCATCTCCGCTTCTTACCTCTTTTCCCTGTTAATCTCAATTGCATATGTCTTGTTAAGTTACAAGCACTTGCCTTTTGCCTTTTGCAAAGGAGGCACAGTCTACAAAAAAAGTAAATGAGAGTAGTAAAGTAACTCAAGAACAAGTCAGTAAGTCAGGATCAAAAAGGTGATGAAGCTGTTTTGTTTGGGCTTTTCAGTTGTGCAGATACAATTGTGTATTCCTTCCAGGCTGACAAGTTTTATCAAATGAAGTGATGAAGTAACTAAGAGAGAGCTGGCAGTTCCAGCCCTGGAGCCAGAAACAATTTTCAAGCTCTATTTTTTTTTTTTTTTTTTTTTTAAATGAAATGTAAAGCCTTAGCAAGGAACAGAGCCAATTTGGTATTAACATGCCCATGGAAAACATATTGAAAGCTATGTTTGCTGCTAGGAAGATGGATACGTTTCTCTCCAATTTATCTATCTACTTAGTTGTGCACTTGGTGAGCTGAATTCCTTCAGCGCTTTGAAATACTGTTGTGTAGTATGTAAAAAAAATAGTCCAGTATTCTGGTAAATATAGAAATTCCATTGTTTAGCTAGAAATGAGTGAAAGTAGGAGCCTGTCTTTACACAGAGGTGTAGCACCATATTAACACTACAAAGAACTGCTGGTTGCAGTGGGTAAAATACCCACTTAAAAAAGCATTAGCTCTTTCACAAGTCTTTCGATGTAGAACGAAACAGACAGGAGTGTTCAGAACAAAATATTCTGGATTAGTCTGTATTTGAGCATGTCGATGGCAATGCTCCCTTTGAAAGTGGAGGAGCAGAGTCACTGTCGACTACTGCAGTTAACAGACCATAGCAAACCAACCTCACTTCACAAAGAGGGATCAGGAGATTCCCTGAGCTTGCACCCTCCACACATAACAAATCCAGACGTACTGCCTCTTATGTGGATTTCTCATTAGATGGAAAAAACCAGGGAGAATTTACCTAACACTAAGAGCAAAAAGTATTGGAAAACAAGTATCAGAGTATTTAATGACTTACTGAAGACAGTGGAAAAGTTTCCCTTGACCTAAAATTAGATTTTTGCAGAATTAGTTTTCTAATTTTTTTTCCCTAGTTTTTCTTTTTGCCACATTAGTTTTCTGCAAAATCCACCACATGTGCAAGGACTCTTAGGAGTTGTCAAATCTTGGAGCCTGATAGAGGTGAGGCTGCCACAGCTCCATGTCCCCAGGTCCAGGCAACAGTGAGGCTGAGCATGTATCCCAATAGGCACACATGCAAACATGGGTATACAACATGCACACACACATTCTTTATGTACACACAGAGAAACATTCAGTACTCTGGCAAACACAAACAGCACCCACATTCTCATCCTGATCTCCCCTCTGGCTGATCAAGATGAAAGTCCTTAGTGGTCTTAGGCACTCGCTCTGTCTGGTCCTGCATCCCTGCTAACCTACACTAATGGGCCCTATGACCTGTGGTCCAATTCCAGTGGCTGGCACTTATGCCTCCATGCACACACACATCCACACAGAACACAGAGTCCATAGAATCGTTCACCAAGGACAAACAGTTAGAAATGGAGTTTAATAAGAAGACAGGACAGACTGCAGTGATCAAATGTAGGGCAAGGTCAGCAGCTGTTTAACATGCAACCATCCCCCTTTATGCCTTTATCCATCCATTTTGCCATGCTTGTTCCTCACCAAACCACCTTAATCCCTCTCTTCCCCCACCTTTGGTTCCTCCCCTAAAAATCCCATGATAAGTGAGTCTTGTAGAATCCCAAAATGTTCTTCCCTAGTATTGCATAAGGAGTCCCATACAATCCTGAAGGCAGTGACCCACCTCAGTCTGTAAGGTGATCTGGGTGGCTGCTCCCACTGACTCATCTTGAAGGGCATCATGCCAAGACAATGGGATCACTCTGCTGTGACAACCCGAGGAATAGCCAGGTCGGGGTGCTCTGTTTCTCTGACTAGGTTATTGGGGTTCCCATGTGTGTCATCTTTTTCCTGTGCACCTGCTTGCCCAATGTACCATTGAACTACCTTTAAAAGGAGAGTTATCTAACACAAAGCCAACAGGTAAAAGGCAGATGTTAGGTGGCAAGGTGACTTTAAAACAAAGCAGTCAATTGAAAAGAAACATGAGGGAAACCCTGCTCTCCAGTGGAATTTTAGGGCTGTAGTGTGACACAGTCACACAGCTCTACATTAATTGCTCTAAGACGACACATGGAATTCTCTTGCTAGGGATCTTACCAGTAATGACATCTCACTAACAGCAATTTCAGTAATAAGGGAAAAGGAGTTAAAAACCCCAATTGTTAGCACTGTCAAACACTTCTTTTTTTTTTTTTTTTTTTTTAACTTGGTAGGTGTGGAAGTGGAATGTCGACCAGTAAGTACCAGACTGCAGTATAGGAATATCAACGGATGTGTGGCTGAAAAGGAAGTGCCTATTTCTCATTGTGAGGTAAATAACAAAAGCAACCCCCACCCCGCCCCCAAGACCTGCCCTTGCCCCTTTCTCTTTTCGACAAGGGAAGCCTTGCCTGCACTACAGTTTCACTTCAGTAAGTGGAGCATCAGTTTCTGTGCTTCTCATTGATTCACTTGAACAGTGTAAACCTCATTGGCACTCATTTCCTAAAGTGATGCTGAACTACCTCTGTTCAAGCCAGCATGAAAAAAGGCATATATGTTAGACATAAAGGCTTTGTTCATACCACGCTCCTTTGCTTCCATCAGAAATTAATAACTCTGAAGTGGTTTTGTTAGGACTTTCTACATAAAAAAAAGAATTTTAATCTTATTATTAATGAAGCTGATTTTCAGATCTGAGTCTACAGTTAAGCACACATATCCCTCTTCAGGCTCTGAAGTTGATTTATGAGTGTAAATAGGTATTTAGATGCATGATACTTTAAAAGACATTTAAACTTGAGTGCTATGATTTGACTTCTGTGCTATATAAGCTCTATGACTCCTCTATTAGCCCGAGCACTAAGCTGTTGTGTTCTGCATATCTTGTGCATTTCTTCCATAATCAGATTAAAAGTTTAATTTCCTGCCCATCACTGCTTACACCTTATAGGGCAACTTCCATTTGAAACAGGAGCATGGCTTCCGTTCTGGATGTTCCCATCTCTCTGAGACTGGGAACCAAAGATGACATTCTGTTCCCAGACTGGGTTGTAGCAGGACAGCTGCTCAGTCTGACATAACCAAGCTTCAGGCAAGGATTGTATACAGCCCTTGCATACAATCCAAACTATGGCATGCAAGGGTGGCAGTCAAGAAGATGGCTTGCACCCAGCCCCTTAAGTATTCTTTTAGTTGAGGCAGTAGGCAAAAGAAGACTCTCTCTTTCCTATGACTACTGGGAAAAAATGGGAAGAAAAAGGAGAAGTATTAAGCGCATACCTGCCCAGGCTTTTCAGATAGCTACCTGGCAAAGTGCCTTCATTTGCTACACAAGTCTTAATAAGAATGGAAGCTTTAAGAACAACAACAAAACCACTTACCTTTCATTAAAAAAAAAAAAAAAAAAAAAAATTATTGCCCTCTTGTCCTGTCCACAAAGTCAATGATAGTCAGGTCCTTAGCCGTAAAGTCATATGTACTGAAGTTTCCCCTGCAAAAGTACAGATTTTATATTGTGAATCTGACCATATATTGAGTAAAGTAAACACTCCTGCTATAGCTGGTATTGAGTACAGTTTTCCTAAAGTCCTTCCTGATAATGCTATGCCATTTTTTTGTATTAATCTCAGAAATAAGCGCATAGAGCCACAAAAAGAAACGGACTCTGACAGAGTTTGATGTGGGGCCATTTGTTTTTACGTCATGAAAGCTTATAGCTACAGGCATTGACAGCTCAGTCTAAATTAGTAAAGTGGCCAGACAAGTAGAACAAGGAAAAATAGCAACCAGCAGGACAACAATGAATGTGCGGCTTCCAACATTTGGGCTAAAGCACTTTCCGAATGCATGATCTCATACAGCTGAGACGATAACCATATGTGCTTAGAAGCCAACACAATAGCCCTGGACATCAACTATGATATTTTAAATTATAGGCTTTTTTTGTGTGACCAGTTCTTTTACCTCTCCTTTGCTATGCTTATGCTCATAAGACATTACTCTTTGACCAGCACCCTACAGTGTGGAATCAGATACCTGTTTCTGAGTTTATGTTTTGTAGCAGAGCACTGAACTCCAGGCAAAGTCATCCACGGATGTTTTGAAGGCAAGAACCTGGATTCTGATGGCACTGAGGTCTGGCACTGCTCAAACTTGGTATCTCTTTCTCCCATTTAGGGCAAGTGCAGAAGCAATACCAGATACTCTGTTCAGACAGAGAAATGGGAAGACCTGTGCAGCTGCTGTACAGCCATTCAAACAACCATAGTCACAATCCCCCTCCGGTGTGCCAATGGGACGGTGGTGCAGCATTACATCCCTTCTGCCTCACAGTGTGAATGTTATTCTCGGAAGTGTACAGACTGAATATTTCTAAGAAGCCCAGTTGTGTAATCTCAAGTTTTATGATGAAGGAACTTTACAGTGCAAGCCTCATTTTCTCTCTGTAGACAATTTTATCCAGTAGAATCCTAACTAACTAATTGTATCAACATAGCAAACAATAAAACTTACTAGCACAACAGAGCATTTTCTGATTATTCTTAGAGTTGTTTATAGATAAGATATTGCAGATTGTATTGTCCTCCATCTTCACCATGGAAAGTAATCCACATTATTAAAAAAAGCAAAAAAATGCAAAACCACACCACAGTAACAGAAACAGTTGCTTCTACTTAAAGAACATATCCTAAAGCATTCAGCATTGTCTTCAGAGACATTACACTTGCATTCCCCACTTCAGACCTTAGTGACACTCTGTGGGCTTTTAGGTTTTTGGTCTTTTTTTCTCCTCCAGTCAGGGAGTACAGTAATTATGGAGTAAGACTTCATAGTAAGAGAGTGATGTTCTTGGTACACAAACAATACTGGTTATGGCTCAAGCAATCAAATATCTTCTGCAATGCATATACATGTTCTTCCTGAAGCTGAATGCAAAGAAATTGTGTGCTGAGGACAGGCTGTGTAACTTCCGTAAATCCTCAGTACTTGTGAATGGGCTGAGGGACAGCTCTTACCTATTTACTTCAGCACTTCCACAGACCAACTTGAAGAGAGAGCTCATCAGTAATCCCCCTTATTTCCAGGTACCAGAACTTCATCTATTGCATTAGGTACAAAAGTTAGAGTTCTTTCAAATGCAGAATTGTCAGTGGCAAGTTTAACTTAGTTACTGCTGCCAGGGACAGATTTAGCAGGATTTAAATTCCACTTGGCCTGGTCAGGGCATGGAAGACACAAGATTTTCCAAGGGCTGTTGGTCATGGCGGAATCTAGTGCCAGTCAAGCAGTTTCACTGGGAAGTACTAATTTCTCAAAAAATATGGGAGGGAAAACTGTTCATTCCATTTGAATTTTTGAAACACAAGAAATATTTAAACTTCTTGTTGAATTGAGTTAACCTTTTTTTTTTTAATATTTATAATTTGGATATAGGAGTTGTATAAAAAAAATAAAAAAAGAAACCCTAAACTTTTCATATGTTTGTGATAAAATCAGTAAGGCTTAGGAATAGGTTATGGGTGAAAAAAAATCATAGTTTCACCAGCTCTAGCAGAAGTGTGCTTGACCTAGTGAAAAGCATGTATAGAAGTCCTTAAGGGTAAGAGTGCTCCTAAGAAGCCTAGCAAAAAAGGTCAGGAAATCACGTTATTCTTGTGCAGTTTTTAGGTTGGCATCTGTAGGAATGGAAGGCATTTCAGAGAACATTGTCACCATTGCTGCTGGGTCATAGGGAGGAAAGTTTTGAGATGAAGAGCTAATGCTCCTCACAGGA